ACTAGGGCTCTTTGGAGAGTACATATATTAGATTTGTCTCCAAAAGATCTTAGGCTCAGAAGCCACAGAGGAACTGGCTTCAAATGCAATTAGCCACCTCCATTTTCAAATGCTTCTGCAGTGCGGCTGTGTGCCCTGGGCATCTGTCCACAGAATAGCACTCAGATGCTAAGTTTGTGGGAGTGTGCATGAGGCCTGTATGTGCCTGTACTGTTAGAGGATGCTCTTAAAATTCCCGTTTAAATGCACTCTTCTTTCGTAGCATTGGCTAATCAGCCTTCCTTATGAAGCTAGGCATTGTTAGCCACGACTTAACATCTGGGAATAACCATGAAGTTGTGAGTTGGCTTGGGCGACAGCATGCTCTCATGGCATAATTCCGTGCTCCCACTCTCAGTGTTTCTCAGGTTACATTTGAGGGCCACCTGCACCAGAATGACCAGTTGGGATGCAGATTAAACACAAGTTCTTGGGCTTCCCCTACTCAATGAAGCTGGGGCTAGGGGTGAATGGTAGGGGTAGGTGGGTGGAAGTATGGGGCTCTATATTTGTGCCCAAGTTAGCACACAGCTAGTTTGTAGAACAAACCACCAGAGATGTTAATAGAGAAGTTTCCAGACCACAAGGAACTCATGCGACTTCAGTTCAGATTGTAAGGGTTTAGGTGAACCTCCTGCACAGGAAGAAAGCCAGAGAAGCAGCAGTTTATTGGAGAACACCCTTACATCTCCAGCTCCAAGCTCAGCACCTAACTCAGTACGTATCTGCAAAACGAGGGGAGATGTTATATCCTGTTACGAGGTATGGTAGAGGAGTCAGACAATGCCATTGACTAGCTTACGACTTCCCACTGTACTGTTTTGGATAATCATTAAAATAGTGAGCATGTGCCATTTAACCTTTATGATTCCAAGAACACTTTCAGTCAAGGAAAAGACTTGGTAAGGCTTGGATGAAACACAGACAGAGTAACCACTGAAGACGGAGCCCCGGTGGCACTGTGCGGAGGCATGGGCTGCTAACCACAAGGTGGGTGGCTCAACCCACCAGCCCCTTCACTGGAGAAAGATGGAGCGGTCCACTTCCGTGAAGAGTCACAACCTTGGGAATCCCATGGGGCAGCTCTACTCTGGCCCACAGGAGTCCACTCCGTGGCCGTGGGCTCTGAATGACCACATGAGCTCTGCTGACAGCACTCTCTCTCGGGATGGTCCGCATAAACATTTTGTTTGTTACCGGCAATTCTTTCTCTGAATGGAAACACTTGGCTAACAAAAGCCAGAGATTTCCCTGGTTATTTCTGTACAATCAACATTTGGTGAGTACATTGTACTCCATGGTGACTCCGTAGCCCTGAAAGCCCAGTACAACAGCTGCTCAACTACATGGGACGCTCCGTTTCCTTGGGCAGATGCCCGCTCTGTTCTACTCCCCTACCGGGCTCTGCGCTCCACGAGGCTGTCACATCTGGACTCGGGGCTATCCCCGACCCTCTGGCTCCTGGCTGAGTTGGCGGAGGGGAGGCCGGGGCAGGAGATAGATGGGCAGGAGGAGAGCAAGGAGAGGGTGGCTATTCACTTGGCGTCTCCCTTATGACACGAGTCCTTTTCTGATGCCCAGTCCTGTCGGGTGGCCTCCCCTACAGAGTGATGTTCTCCACGGTCCCTGCAGGTTGAAAGGCGCTAACTCGTGGGCACTGTCCTTGTTGGTTTCCCCAAACGGTAACCACACTTTTCCACAAGTTCCTTAGCATCAGTCGTGCTTTAATTCCAGCTCGAATGTACCATCTCCGTCCTCCCAGGGCCCTGATGGGCACAGACAGGAGGGTGGGCTGCACGGGCCGTGTGGAATTTGGACCCCACATGGACTCAGAATTTAATCTGCACGGGCTCAAACTCATGAACAACAATGTCAGTAGGAACCAGATGTTCCTCCTTGTCTAATCGAACGCAGCTGGGAGGGAGATGGCGCTTTAGATCGGAGTTGGAAGATGGGGAATTGCTCCCAATAAAAACTCATCTGAGGCCTTATTAGAGTGTTGTTGTTCTTTAAAACAGAACCCCCTAGACTCATTTGAGAGCATGAAAGGCACTTGACGCTCCCTAGCAGTGCCCGAATAAAGGCAATGGTTTTAATTAGGCTCATGTGACCCCCGTCTTCTCACCAACTTCTAACATCCCTTCCTCTGGTGGAGACCTTCATACTTGTAGCGAAGCACTCTTGTTCTTACAAAATACCCAGGGAAGCCAAAGTAGACATGTGGCCACCTAGGTGCCCTCTGCTTAGAACTCCTGCTACCCTTTGCTCTGTTCCTCAAGCCACCATAGCGTGCGAGGCTGGGTGAGGGCGTCCCAGCCCTCCATGTCATTGCCTGATCGCTGCCCATCATCATGGACTATGGACCCTGTTAAAGATTGACCGGCTTTATGCTGCAACCACAGGGTGGCAGATCCATGTTCTGATAAAATGACCCTTGTCATTCAGAAATTTTCTCAACATTTTCCATCCTTGATTGCCTTGGCATTAGTCACGAGGCTGAAGTGGTTATTTCAGTCTCCGAATCAGAGGAGCACAGGCAGGCTTCATTTGATCATCCCTGCATGGGGGATTATGGAACGCTGTCGCCGGACTGTCCTGGGGTTACGAACAAGATCACGTCCCAGTGTGTCTTTAAGTCGAGTTTGTAATGAGTCAGAACAGGTACACTGGGTTCTTATTTAGCCTCAAATGAGAGCCTAGGTACCCAAACTTGGGTGTGTGTGTACTGGAATCACCTTCGGATCTGGTGAACTGACGGATCGCTGAGCTCCTCCCCCTGGAGATTCTGATGTATTAGGTTTTAAATGGAGCCCAGGGATTTGTAGGTTCCCCAGATCCCCCGGCGATGCCAGTGATTCCCCCACGTTGGGGAGCCTAGGAGTTAGTGCAAGAAAGAGCTGCACGGGCGACAGGTGAAGGGGATTGTGCTGAAGAATTTGTTGCAGGAAGAGGTCTGCTTGGTGCTTTGAAACCCACTGTCACAGTCTGTTCTGGCTCACAGAGACCGTTATAGGGTGGTCTCAACTTTTCCCCCACGGAGCAGCTGGTGGGTTTGATTCTCTGAACGTGCCATTCACAGGCGTACCACTTATCCGGTAGGCAGTGTCGCCAAGCCCCTTCCGTCCTTTCAAAGGGAGGGCAAGCTCACGTTAATGTTAAGGGAGCAACGAGGCGTTTTTCTGTAAGCTGGATATTCGTAATACAGGTGGCACTTCCTCAAAATGCTATCGTTGTTCCTGGCATTCTTTCTGCCCTTATCTCATTCCCAGTGAAATGCTGCACTGAGGAAGCTGACTTGGCAGCTGGGGGCAGGGGTGGTTCCTGAGGCGGCTGTGAAGTCCCGCCCTTCTCAGTCCAAACTCCTCTGGGGAGAAGCGAGCAGATCAGGAGCTGTGCCCTCAGCGAGAGCTGCCATCCTTTAAGAAAACACAGGGCTTCCAACCAACCAGTTCCATAGTTGCCGCCGGCCAGACATGGCTGTCGTAAACAAGGGCTGCCACGCACTGCATAGCAACCAAATCCGTGCTCCCGCTCCCAGCTGCTGGCCTGTCGAGCGCTCTTTGACTTGTGCTGCTCTGTGGGGTCCTGCCAGGAATCCCCCCGCCTCGCTGCCATCGAGTCAATGCTGACTCGTAGAGCCCCTGTATGGCGGGGTGGAACTGTCCCTGTGGGTTTCTGAGACTAGCTCTTTAGGGGAGTGGCAAACCCCGCCTTTCTCCTGTGGAGCAGCTGGTGGGTTCGAACTTCAGACCTTAGGGATCGCAACCCAGCCCGTAACCACCATGCCTACAGGGCTCCTCTGCCAGCAAAGCTGCTCCCCAAGCGTCCGGCACCAGCCCTTCCACCCAAACGTTTCAGGAGCCTCACTTGCTATTCCGGGTTATTCAGAAAATAAAAGAAAAATTACTTGGCATTGAGCAAATTCATGGTGGCCAGGTGTGCTGAGAACTTCTCTAGCAACGCTTTCCCGGCCGTGGCCTCACAGGCGCTAGTCTGCACGCTTGTCTTCTGAGGGGTCTCTGGAGGGACTCGCACTGCCAACCTTTTCCCAGACCTGATGAAAGGCCCTGGGGACCCCAGTCAGGCTTCTCCTGCCCTGAGTGGTTAGCTAAGAGCGAAGTCTAGGGTTGGAGACACTAGTTTAAAATCAGATTCACCAGCAGCCAACCTCCTGACTTGAGAAATGAATCGCTGGGATGCACGAGAAACTGTCCAGTCAATATAGCGTACCATTTATGAGAACGACTCAGATTGGACCCACTCTGCCATTGAGCCGATGCCGACTCCCTGCCACCCGTGGGGCAGCACTGCCCCTGTGGGCTCTGAGACTGTCACTCTGCATGGGAGTCGAGAGCCCCGTCTGTCTCCTGAGGAGCGGCTGGCGGTTTCCAACAGCAGCCTAACACGGAGCCACTATTCCGCCATGCTTGTTAGAAGTATCCGGGGCTGCTCAAGCCCTCCTCTCCCCCAGAAAAAAGGAGGGCGTCCTGGACAGGGGGAACAGAGGCGGCTTTATCGTTTGCCGCTGTCTGGAGAACGGGCGGCACAGTGTGTGCCCCGCTATTAACTGAATGGCAGGTAGTTTGAACACTCTGTTCGTTGTGTCCTGGAAGAAAGGTCTGCTGAGCTGCACCTATAAAGATGACAGCCCAGAACCCCATGGAGCCCGGTTCTACTCTGCCACACACGGGCTGCCAGGAGTCGGAATCGGCTCCCCTGCAGTGGGTTTGGTTTTTGGTTTTACATCTGGCCTTAGAAGACAAGGTAAAATATGCATTCATTGGCGTGTAGAAATACCATGCAGACCAAACAAATTTAAATTTCAATTCATGTGGAGATTTAACTTCATGCCAGCTAAGTGCACAGACAGCAGCTACAGGGAGAAAAGCCCAGGTCTGCTGGGCCAGCCAGCAAGACAGGCAGCTGTTTGGAGACCCCAGGCTGACCGGGAGGGCACTCACCTCGTTGAAATGGACGTCCTGCATGCCGACATCTTCCATCATGGAGGCCTCCTCGTCGATGTTCGGGGTAATGACCCTGAAGGCGATGCACCCCTGTCGAAACATGCCTAGGGGCGAGAGGGCAGGAGACCGTCCACGTTATGAACCCGCAAGGACCTGCCCGGATGCCTCGGAGTCCAACGTTATAACCAATTCTGAATCGGTGACAGCTCAGGCCCAGGCTCACCCAGGGCGGCCGGGGTCTCACGTGTCTCTCTCCTAGCCCACCCCTACGTCTGACCTTCCTCTCCCTCAGCATGCGCGCTTTCAAACCCATCCTTATGAAAACAGCTGGACTCGTCAAATAAGCTGAGAGGTAAGGATGCCAGCCAATCAATAGTAGCATGACAAAGTGTAGTTTGATGTGGTGAGATGGCCCCACGAGCAGAGAAGAAAAACAAAGAAGCCAAAGCCAACCAAAGAGAAAAATATGACTCAAAAACAGCTGTTTCCTCCAAGCTCATTCCATTCACTCTGGCTGAGGGGTGGGGCATCACTTAGAGCATGTACCTCCCTGGTAAGGCCGCCTCTGAAACATATATCGATATCGCTCAGAAGCTGTACCCACAGACTGGGGGGGCTATAGTCCTTGGCTCCCCTATCTACTGCTAGAGGCTAAGAAGATTCCCTGGTGGGGCAAATGGGTGATACCCTTAGCTGCTCATCTAAAGGTTGGGGACTCCTGTCCATGCAGAGGCAACTTGGAAGAAAGGAGTGGGAATCTATCACTGAAAAAGCAGCCAGTGGGACCTCTCTGAAGCACCAGTCTGCTCTGACCCACATCGGAAGGTAGCAAGGGCTCCTCTTCTTCCCCTGACTAAAGCACCCTCATTCTCTAAGGGAAAGGAAAGAGGGAGGGGAATGGTGTATGGTAAATGGTGTAGGATCAATGTTCTGTGTCAAATCTCTTAAACAATTGGGGTATGTTTGGAGCATTTACTCATCTCAAAGTCACTCGGGAACAGTCTTAGGTAATTTGGCTAATGTGCACTGTGCAAAAATTATCACATGAATGAAGGCTAGCAATAGGGTCCTGCCTCTTTATTTTGAGGGGGCTGCCTGTAACCAAACAAAGCAGAGGCCAACACCGGGGCTGAGGCTTCACATATCTGGGGGAGCCAGGGGAGCACAGAACATTCTGAAATCAAGCTTTGCACAAGATGATGGAGACTGTTCTGCTGCCTCTAAGTTAAGGGTGGCCACCTTATGCATGGAGTATCATGTCTGCTCCTGCTCACTGCAGGGCTTCACACCACCTCTCTAGTTCAGTCACGGCGATGAAATGATATGGGAATACACCCACGTGTTGAAATATGGGTGGACTAGGATGCTAACTTGGTGGACCAAGAAAATGACGTGTTGAAGTCCTACTGGAAACTTAATCTCCATCTTAAAAAAGAGGGGCAGCGTGTGCACTGCATGGCCATCACAGTTCTTAACCCACTGAGTAGAACACAATGGGCGGCTCAAAGTGGGCGGCTGACTGCCCCGCTCTGGAGGTGTGTCGCTCTCCATGGTGCTGGTGATAGATAATACGGTCTCCACATCAGGCTCCTGAAAGAGCTCCCTTAACTTCTGAGTCTCCTACCCACCCACCCCAGTGCTTTGACTCTTACATGTTCCTGCTCTTATTAGTATTCTGGAACTTCCACATTCTGAAAATTCAGGTGTGTTCTGGTTTGACTGGTTCCAGCCAGCTTGAAGCCCTGCCGAGGTAAGCCCTGCTTTTATTTCACTATATGGAAACAATTTCCACAAAGGCAAACCATTGATCTAGGAGCTTCAGGCTCTCCGTGAATAGGAAGAGCCAGCCATCCAGGTGCTGTGCTCCTGAAGTACACGGAAACAGTGCCCTTCCTCTCGCTGTCCACAAGGACAGGCTGCCAAGGACCTGGAGAGCCTGGGGGAAGGAGGCCGGGAAAGGCAAGTCCGCCCACGCAAAGCTGAAACAGGAACCCCCCACACCACCGCGTGGTGCGAGGAGAGCAGTGTGGCTGAGGGGGTGGGGCCACCCGCAGGCTCACCTCCCCGGCTCCTCCTCTGGCCGGTGCCGTGGCTGTAGGGGAAGAGGGGCGGCTCCCGGCGGAGGGCTATGTCTGCTTCTAAACATGAGGAGAGCATTACCTGACGAGCGGTCTCAATAGGAAACTGAGCACAGAGCCCTCCCTTCACGCCTTTCCCTTTTGGGTGCTCGTCCGACAAACCCCGAGGAGCCCTGGTGGCGTAGTAGTTACCAGTTGGATTGCGACCCGCCAGGCCTGAGGTTTGAAACCACCAGCCACTCTGTGGAAACACTGGGCTTTCTATTTCCGTGAACAGTCACAGACTTGGATACTCACAGGGGCAGTTCTAGCCTGTCCACTACGAGTTGGCATCAGCTGGATGGTGGTGAAGTAACAGACCTTTAAAATTCCATCCCAAAAAGCCAGTGGTATCAGAAATCTGCACTCTTTGGTCTGGGCCTCTGTGATTTTAAAACATAGTCCGTAGCCCTGCTGGGCACTAGGACACACGCTCCAACTCCCGGTCTGAGGTTGTGGTGACTTTGACAGGGACTGGAACAGCTGACGTTTTAAAGAAAGGAGCCCGAGAGAGAATTCCCAGGTGGTCTGCTCACCTGGGAATAAACAGGTAAGGCACAAAGGAGCAGGATTCCTCCCTGCCTCCCTGCGAGGGGCCTGGCACACAGCGGTGGCAGACTGCTTTGACCTTCTGTTACAGCTCTCATTCAGTGGGTAAACAGGTCTAGACAGAAGTCGCTTGGTTAAAAACCGGATCTGGCCCACTGCCGGGGAGACCCAGACCTCAGTCATTCATTTCTGTAGAACGAATGGGGCCACTGGCGACAGGGTGGGAGACAACTGTCATCCATTGGTGTTTCTGCTGAGCCCACCACAGAAAGCGATGTCCTGTCGAGGGCTTAAAGCCAGGACTATCGTGCTAGCCCACACCGAGGCCCCTGCTGCCAAATCTTCCTGACTGCTTCTCACCGAGGGTCACTCGGCCTTGCTTTTGCTACTTTATATCCATTCTCTCAAGCAAGGGGCAATCCTGCTTACCTTTCCGTGTGAGGTACTCTGCCACCAGGGCCGTTACATGGACGTAGCACATCGCCGCCTGGAACAAAGGACACCTGCCTCAGGGCATCACCCACGACAGCGCATCAGAATGCCTGCCGGCGGTCTGACAGCGAGGGGCCCGCCGGGCACACACCTACTCAGGTGTGAGGACCAAGCAGGGTTTCTCAAACCAGAATGGTGGCTCTCTGGCCCCCCAAACCAAAACCCATATGAAAGGGCTGGTGGAGGGAGCCTTGTGTAAAGTTTCAATGCAGGAGCCCCTGGCTCTTGTCACTTAGGTCTGCTACCTGCCTCGGTGTCCTTGGGGTGGGTCTGAGGGGAACTCACTTACACAGGTGAGGCCACTCTATGTGCGTATAAGTGTAAATACTCACACACACACACACAACCAGTGGAGCCGACCGCTAGGACCTGTGACTGTGTGTGCAGAGAAAGGTCAGCCCCAGTGTGGGGTTTCACACAGGTGCGATCCAAGGGGCAGACCCTTCCCACAGCGCAAGCCGGGTTAGCAGGCACGCAACAGGCGCACAGCTAGTTGAGTTATTAATCAGGCACACAGGACCAGAAACGGCGGAAGCTAAAAGAAACGCTTCAACCCCTCATTTCGGGAGGAAGGACTGACAGGTGAGGAGGTTTTGGTTTTGGAGGGCCAGGCCAGCTAGGAGGAGTTCCGGCGGCCCAATGGTTAGGCCCTCAGCTGCTAACGGTGAAGATCAGTGGGTGGGGCCCAGAGCAGCTGCGTGAGAGCCAGGGCGTCCGTGGACTCCTGTAGAGACGTCCAGTCTCGGCAGCCCTAGGGGTCACGCCCCTCTACCGCACAGGGTTGCCATGAAGCGGGATTCTCGACTCTGTGGCAAGAGGTTTGGGTTCTGCGGCCACACAGGGATTTTTTTAAAGCCCTGAACTAAATTCTGAGAGTGACAGAAGTAGACTACTTTTCACACATGCAATTCATTTTTATTGTGGCGGGTGTCCAGTGTATGTTAAGATTAAGGTCAAACATAATTAGCATGGTATGTCCACTGGACTCCATGACAGGGAACAGTGTCAGTGTTCTGACTCAGAACATAAATTTGACTAATTTAAGCAATTACAGAGTTTTGCATAAACGTCAAAGTATGATTGCTTTCATAATATGATTACTCTGATGTCTTTGGAACAAAGCGGAATGGGGTTCTCATAGAAACACAGAACCCACCTGGCAGTCTTTATTTTCCTTAATGTCCCGTTCTGATGAAAACCCTCACAAATCCACTGCCTTTCGGTCAGTTTCAACGCAGAGTGACGCTATTTAGCGTTTCTTTCTCCCAGTGGAGGTCTGGGGGGGTTCAAACCTTGGACCTTATCGTTGGCAGCCCCACCTGTAGTCTCAGAACCACCAGGGCTCCTTATGAAAAGTAGATTAAATGACTCGTCCTCTGTCACTATATTTGTAAACGTCTGCAATGCTGTGCCTTATTTAATATGGCTCTCCTAGCCATGACCTTGGCTACTCTCACCAGATGACCTCTGTTTTCCTGATGGGTCTGGGAAAGAAGGTGGGGAAGATACCGATCAGATCAGGTGACTCCGCTGTGCGGGATCCTTAACAGGGTTCGTTGAGATTGTGGTCCTGCTAGATGTAAAACAAACCATCTCAGAAGTGTGGGCCCACGTCTGTGTGTCTGCCTCTGAATGTATGAGATGTGAAGTATGTGCCCATCAAACGAATGCAAAAAGAAGGGGGGGTCTGGGAGCTACCTCAGAGAGATCCCCATTTTTGACGTGGATCCTGGCCATGCTGTCGAGCCAGGTCTTCCTGAGCTCGGGGGTGCTGGCGTAGGACTTGGCCAGGCTGTACTGCAGGTCCACCAGCATCTCCGGGTCGTTCTCGTGCTCCTTCATCTGGGCCGTGGCCATCAGGACGGTGCGTATCCTTTTGGTCAGATCCTTTACATCCGAGGAGAAGCTGGTGTGCTGCGAGGGGGAGCGGGGAGAAGGGCACACGGCTCTCCTTTACTGGATGCCCCTACACATTTGAGTTAGAGCCCAGGTCAGAGGCAGCGCCAGGGGAGGGCAAAGCACATGGGACTAGGCCACCCACCTTGATGAGCCTGTCACTGTTGGCACAGTTGTTGATGATGGACAGGGACTGCTGGAACCTGGTCCCCCCAATGCCAACAACGTCTGCTATCAGCTGGCTGACGGAGATGATCACCTTAGGGACACAAAGGAGCAACTCAGGTAACATTCAAGCGATGGCGGGGCCTCATCTTCCAAAGGGCACGAGGGCCAGGCAGCGGCGGATGTTTGGAGCAGTGATGATTACTGCGCTATAGCAAACACGGTGAGTCCTTCAACTTTTTTCTTTCATCTTTTAATACTTAAAAAAAATATTTTAAGACTTATTCCAGGAGCTAACTGTGCTATCTCTACGTATTTCCTCTGCGAAAGCAAACCTGCTGCGCAGGAGAGTGAAGAGAACGAGACAAGCCTGCGCTACTTGGCGATCCACTTACACTTCACGGTCTCAAATGGAAACCAAAAAGCAAACTCACTACCAACGAGTCCGTGCTGACTCCTGGCGGCTCTCTAAGACAGGGTGGAGCTGCCCCCGCGGGTTTCCGGACGGTGACTCTCTATGGGAGTAGAAAGCCCTGCCTTCCTCCCAAGGAGCCACTGCTGGTTTGGAACTGCCGACCTTGCAGTTAGCTGCCCAAACTGGAACCGCTACGCCCCCAGGGCTCTTTTTCTAATGAGAAAGGCTAGGCTCTTCGCCTCCTCCACGTTTCTGGTTTGAACTTGCGTGCATTAAGCAAGTCAAAAGGTAGGCTGTCCTTTGCATTTTTAAAATTTGAAACACGCGTGTGAATATGCAGCCCATGGAAGCATGCTGCCGTCAAGCTGACTGGTGCACAGCAGCCCGAGGGTCCCAGTAGAACTGTGCCTGGCAGGGCTTCCAACAGCTGCTTACGTTTTCCAGCGGAAGACAGCCAGTCCTTTCTGCTGACGTGCCTCTAGAAGAACTTACGCTTCCTGCTTTCCAGTTAAGAGTCAAGCCGCATTAACTGTCAGCCCCACCCAGGGGCTCCCAATGTGCCACAGGACCTGTGTGCTTCAGGTTTATGCGCCTGATAAACAATCTAAACCTTGAAACAGTTCAAACACCATTTTGGGTAACACTCACACCCCCCCCCCCACACACACACACACATTCTCTCTCTCTCCTGCCCACTGAACTGCCCAGGTGAGCAGGAAGAGACAGCGAGCACGATCAATCAACTCCCTGACAAATCTGGGAAGGCAGGGAGAGGGAGTCTGCCTATGGCAGAGAGGTGATTTTGGAACCCGCAAGTGTGCGCACACAGGAAGGGCTAGGGAGCCCAGCCTAGGGGGGCCTCTTTAGAACTGAGATACGTGGATAAAGGGCAATGCTTGTTTTGACCCCCACTCCTGCCTGTTGAATCAACAAAGACGCTCCTGACTGCTGTTCCCATAAACCTGTATCAAGTATCGCTGGAAGAACGTTGAGGAGTGCTTAGCCCGTCTGTGGGTGGGGAGGGATGAAGCACTGCTGATTTTGTGTATTGTGAATAGGAATCAACTTGATGGCGGTGGCTGGTACCTAAGCCTACCTAGCAGCTCTGGTGGCAGAGTTGTGCCACGCTGGGCTGCTAACAACATGGTCAGCAGTTCAAAACCAGTTTCTCCTCAGGTGAAAGACCAGGCTTTCTACTCCCTTAAAGAGGCACAGACTCAGAAATTCACAGGGGCAGTTCACCCTGTCCTACAGGGTTGTTATGAGCAGGAACCGACTTGAGGGCAGTGAGCTGAGCTTTTGAGACCTGGGGGCGGGGTACGGAGGGTGGAATTGGCTGTAGGTAGGGCACCAAAGATTTCTTTGCCTGTTGCAAAGTGGGGTGGGCACACAAGACCCGCCCCTCTAAGGGGACAGCCTTTTCAAGTTGCCGTGAAAAGTGGTTCCGCGAGGGGCCCACATTTTGTGGCGTGTGCCGTCTGCTTCTCAGGCACAGGAGCTACTGCCCCACGTGCGGACACGCTGGGAGTGGGGTGTCTCCGGGGCGTGCTGGTTCTGAGTGCAGGGCGGGGTGTGCACTGAGGAACCCCTGTCAGTTACGGGCGCCCTTTTGAGGGCCTTCCGGTTACTGGGAAATGCGGGACGCCCCGGGCGCGTGCCAGCATGCGACCCCTCCTCACGCACCTGCAGGTGCGTCCGCACGAAGGACTTCTTGCCGGTGTAGTCGAAGTTATTCCTCATCAGGAAGTAGAGCAGCTGCGAGGCCTCCGTGCGGATGGAGCTCAGCTTGGAGTTACAGCACTTGAGGATCTCATAGCAGAGCGCCGCGCACATGTCTGCTCGCCCCTCGTAAAACGTCGAGGGGAACTGGGGGGCCGCGAGAAGCAAACAGACCAAAGAAGGGTCAGTACTTGGCGATGCCCAGCTCTTCAGAGCCGGGAGGCAGGAGGCGGACACTGCACGCACAGTGGACCGTGATCGCGGATGAAGAGGACTCACCTTATAAATCAATGACCTCAAGGCCGTGAAGACGTTCTTTAAAGCCGTCTCAGACTGATGTTTTTGAAGGAAACAGAGGTAAACCGCAAACACTTTTTTCATGAGAGGATTGTGCCCATGGTCAGCCAGGAGCTGGTTCTGAAAACACACATGGGCAGTCAGTGTGACACGCCGGGCACTTGTAATAGGTTTTGCACACTTTTCAGGTTCAACGGGTAAATATTTCATCCCTAAGACAACTTAGTTTATTTTGATTTTTACATTTATTTAAATTCGTTTCCATGAATCCTCTAAGAAAGCATGTTTTCTTATAGAGAACAAGTAAGTCTGCCCCTGCATCTGTATTTGGAAGAGCTCATTTTTCTATTAAATACTTGTTCTAAAACTGCCCAGCAAACTGAAACATAAAGAACCATGGTTGTTAGTGCTGCCAGCCCTTTTTCCTGTTTCTTTCTTTCTGCACAACTGAGACAGAGGAGGAGGGGGCAGCATCTTCTTAATCCAATGAAGACATGCCAGTACGGGCGGCAGCTGGGAAAAATGCCAAAAGGAGGGCAATGGGGTGGGCACTCTGAAAATGAAGCTGCTGACCAATGAATAAATAGGTAGTGGTACAAGGTCAGAAGCTCAAAACCACCAGTTGTTCCTAGGGAGAAAGACGAGGCTTTACTACACCTGTAAACAGGTACAGTCTCAGAAACCACAGGGCCAGTTCTACCCTGTCTTATAGGGTCGCTGAGTTGGCATCGACTTGATGACAGTGGGCTTTTTTTGGTGGCATGGTAAAGGAGTCCTGGTGGCACTATGGGTTAGCATTGAGTTGTTAACCGAAAGGTCAGCAGTTCAAACTGCGACCACTCCTCAACCTGCTTTGCTCTGTGTAATGCTATAAATCCCACTGCCTGCCCCAGGGGAGCTACCCTTCAATGTGAGCTGTCCTTACAAGCTGTTTCCTCTAATCCCTTTCCTGCCTGGAGAACATCCCACCAGAGCACGTGAGTAGCAATCGGCTCCAACCAGATCTGGACTCCCAAACATGCACAGAAAGGACAGCCACAGCCTACAGGTGACCCCGGCAGGAAGGGCTTTGGTCAAGGATCAAAAAGTGGATGAAAAAATATCACCAGACCAACCAGGGCATTTGAATTCCAGAGGTCCTACTAGCCATTTCCTGGTCAAGAATCATACCCCGGCCCCCTGCACCTCATGCATATTCATGGCCATTCCTCAGAATTCTGTTACGTATTCATGAGTCCTTCACTTCACTTCCTGGTGTACTCAAATAAGACTGCAAACGACGTCCCTTCTTCAGGAGCCTGCTTTGGCCACTCGTTCCAGCTCACTGTACCAAAGCCTGACTGTTCCCTTTCTTGGGCACCCACTCTCGCTGTTTGCTTCTCAGCTGTGCTGAGCTTGGCGTGGGTTGGTAACAAAATCCACAGCCACTTGGCAGGAGTAAGATGAGGCTGGCTGCGTATGTACAGATTGACAGTCTCCAAAACCATAGAGAGGGTCACTGCGAGATAGAATGGGTGCCCGTGGGGTTTGAGCTTGGTGGTGGTATGTGAGACAGAAGCAGGCTCTGATGCATGATCATTTGAACAGGCCACTCAACTGAGCCTTGCACACAGCTACTGTCAGATAAGGATTTGAGATACAGCCTAGGAAGTACCTGACACGCACTCCAGCCTGCGCAAAAAGTGGCAGCCAACGGCATTTGAGGAGCCCTGGTGGCACAGAGGGTTATACCTTGGGCTACTGCTCGCAAGGTCAGCAGTTCATAACCACCAGCTACTCCTTGGGAGAAAGGTGAGGCTTTCTGCTCTTCTAAACAGTTACAGTCTTGGAAACCCACAGGGGCAGTTCTATTCTGTCTCATAGGGTCGCTATGAGTCAGATTTGCTTTGATGGCAGTGAATTTGTTTGTTGTTATTTGGGCAATAGTTTAACATTTCATCCCTGAGTTTTACGTTGAAGAAAAAAAGAGGAAAGGAAAGGTGTCCAATCATTGGCCAAGAGGGAAGTAAAGACGTCCTATATCATTGGCCAAGAGGGAAGCAAAGGCATCCTATCACTGGCCAAGATGTCCTCACTCCGGCAGTCAGTCACATGAAGCATGCCCTCTGCTGCCTGGCTGGGGAAAGGCTTGGTAGTCCTTGCTGAATGCACATGGTTAATAGCACGAACCCCCCATGGACACACGCACAGTGCTGAGAGCCCAGGCTGCCCAGCCACACACGCCCGTCTCGATGGAAGTGGCAGGCCGGCAACGAGCACACAGGCACATGCTGTAAAAATGGGGAGCAAGGCTGCCAGAGACGGTGTCACAAGTCAAGGGACCGCAAAGCAAGTCGTCATTAGGCCAGTTGTACAGAGAAACATAGAATTTGATGTCCAGATAATTGTGTTACATAGCAAATTATGATTGGAGTAACAGTTTCACTTTACCACATCTTACTGTTGGAGGAAAAGAAATTTTCTAAGCCCAGGACTTTGTTATTTAAGTCCCATGAAGTCTCAGGTGTATGCCCAGCTGGTGGACAGCTGGAATTCACAGTGACCTTGAGGAACGACCATGACATCGTGATGGAGGCTACTGAATTCCATCACGTGACAGAGGAACCTTTTAAGGAGCAGGAAATGTGACTTTGTTAAATGAATATGACATCATTCTCAACCATAAGCAGGTGTGCCTCAACTCCTCCTGCCCCACCCAAAACACCGTTTTGGGAGCTGCGGGGTGGGGGTGGGGTGGGGGGTGGGGGGGTGTTGTTGTCTGCAAACACTATTTTCTCCTCTGGAGCCAAACACCGACAAATAGAGCATTTCTCAATTACTTTCCTGAATCGGGTGGTGGGAGGGGCGAAGGTTTGGGTGTGAGCACACAGTTAATGTACTCAGCTGCTAACGGAAAGGTTGGGGGCTCAAGTCCCCTCAGAGGCAGCTGCTTCTAAACTACCAGCCACAGAGCACCACCCTACACTCCCACACACGGGCCACCATGAGCCATAGGCAAGGTGACGCGGACCTTTTCATGTTGATGTTTAAACTTTGGGTGGATCTGAAAGTGGAGTTGTGTTTCTGCACTCCTTGATGGGGCTGTCCAGAGAGAGCTTTCTGGTCAGCATTGCCCCGGACCTTGTCTTGCTGCCGGAATGGGCCCTGTCCCCATGTTCTTGCTTCCTGAGTGAATACACTCCCCTTCCTCTCCCTCTCGCTGGTCAAGGTATTGGTGACCCATTTTCAGAAGATACTCCTTCTGGGTCCTGAAAACCAAGGATGAAATTAAAACGCATCCACACGATGCAGCAGTAAATACCCCTATTTTAGAAGTTAGTCCTTTCTGGTGGACCATTCATCCCAGGCCCACCTACTTTACCTGCTGGGTTCCTTTAGCTGCCCATTGATTTCTCCCTCACCCCCTCCTCAATTAGAAAATTAGTAATATACACTAACACCCCCCAATAACAACAACAAACTGAGAACAATCAGAAAGGCCTAACTAAGTACCTCTGAGTTTATTCCAATCCTTGGTGACACCCTAGGACAGAGTAAAACTCCACTGGGTTCCCATGGCTGAAATCTTTATGAAGTGGATTGCTATATCCTTCTCCCATGGGCTTGAACTGCTGACCTTTTTAGTTACCACTGGCAGTGCTTTAACCAGTGTGCCACCAAGACTCCTTTCAGAAAAGCCTAAGCCAACAAACAGGACAAACAAACCCAGAAAAGCAAATGTACTGCCGCTGAGTCGATTCTGACTCATAGCGACCCCATACAGGGTATCTGAGACTCTAGATCTTTGCAGGAGCAGGCGGCTTCTTCTTTCTTCCAAGGTGTGGCTGGGGGATTTGTACAACTGACTGTGGTTGGCAGCCCTGCACTTAACTCACTGCCTCACAGAGTCTGTAAGGGAGGGGCCCAAAACAAAAACGACCCTTCCATTCTCCACTACTCACACAACCACAGAGAATGCTGTTGTTTTATTTCCTCTCTTTTCCTCCCCAGATTCTTATCACAGACAGGAATCTTCCATTCAGAAATTATGACGAGACATTAGAACAGTACGAGAAGCCTTGATTTATTTCCAGCAATCATGCAGAGAAGAAGTTACATGCGGTTCCCCAGGAAGGAAGTGTAGTCTGGGGGCTGCAGAGCTTTAACACTGGCCCTTGAGGGGCTTGACCCAGGGACTAGGGCCATTCAGGGGTGGACCCTCCAGGTCAGCCTGGGCTAGAGAGCTGGGAACATGGGGAAGATAAATCTGAACCTTGGGTGCCAGAATGAGCTCTCTGGAAGCATGTTACGTAAAACAGCTGTATCTTTATATGTACATTAGATTTTAATATGACGGCAGCCAATCACTTTGGAGGAGGCTATTCCTGTTGCATCTCTTCACCCATCACGGAAAGGTCCTAGCCCTTGTGCCTTGCCATCAGGCCGCACTGCTTTTGTAAACCAGATTACACGCTTCCTAGCCACAACTCGGACATCAATTATCCACCTGCTCCTCCCTGGTCTCTTCATCATGTACTAGTTCTCACAGTGCAATTCAAACAGGCACTAAAAGGAACTTCTACAAATCAATACATGTCCAGATGAAACTAGTGGGCACATTAATCAAACAATTGTCCTTTTCTTCATCTGACTACCTTCGGTTTACAAAAGATGCCCATTTATATCACGTACTGGACAATAGCCAGCGCAGTCCCTGGCGCCCAACTCAGAAGTGCCTCACAATCGTGTTGCTCTTCGCTGCCCTCAAGTCCAGTCCAACTCCTAGGGCAGAACTGCCCCATGAGTTCCTCAGACTGTCACGGAGTAGAAACCCTCGTCTTCCCCTCAGGATTGACTGGTGGTTTTGAACTGCTGACCTTGCAGTTAGCCTAACTCATAACTACTATGTCACCAGGTAATTCAGCATCCAACCACTTTCATTCAGGAAACTGAACCAAGTATGACTCCTCCCGCTCCCCCTGTCCCATTTGCTTAGTGGAGGACTGGGGTGTTGGTCAGGTCAGTTGTATAGGGATCTTCGACAGATTTCCTAATCTAGCTCAGCTTCAGATTTCCTCATCTCTAAAGTGGGAAACAAGAACTACTAGGCAGGGTTGTGAAAAACGAAAGCCTGAAGATACATAATAAATAATGTACACAGAAGGTACATAATAAATAGCAGGAAGCGAATCTAATAATTCATAAATATAATAATAACCAAAGAAAAAAATCAGACTGACTGCCATGCTGTGGATTCTGACTCAGAGCAACCCTTCAGGACTGAGCAGAACTGCTCTGGTGGGTTTCTGAGACTGCAACTCTTTAATGGGAGTAGAAAGCCGCATCTTTCTCCCTTGGAGCTGCTGGTGGTTTCAAATTGCTGACCTTGCAGTTAACAGTGCAATTCCTAACCCACTACACCACCCAGGAGAGGAAAGTCAGGGTTTAAGTGTTTCCCAGTATTCCATTAGGTAGTGCTTCATTTTCGTGTGTACATGCAGACACTCGTAATGAGTCAGCCAAGAGACAAAAAAACCCAGACTCACTGCCACCAAGTCACTGCTGACTCACAACGCCCCCCTGTAGGTTTCCGAGACTGTAACTGCTTACAGGAGTAGAAAGCCCAGTCTTCCTCCCTGGGAGCTGCTGGTGGTTTGAACTGCCGACCACGTGGGTCTTCAGCTCATCTGCCCAAGTGAGTTCCTAAGTGTGACACTTCACAGGGACTGTTAGGAAGAAAGGAGCCCTGGTGCTGTAGGTAGTTAAGCATCTGGCTGCTAACCGCAAGGTTGATGGTTCAAACCACCCCTTATTTGCTTGCCCCAAGGGAGAAAAATGAGGCTGTCTGCTTCTGTAAAGATGGACAGTGTGGGGAAACCCCGTGGGGACATTATGACTCAGTAGTGCCTCGACAGTGAGCGAGTTTGTGTTCTGATTCTATATTAAAGTGACATGATGCGTCCGGAAAGCCACTTCCACGCTCACAAATAAACCGCTTTATGAAGAGTGGAGCCAAGTGACAAGTACGTCCGAGAGGAGGGCAGTCTTCCAAACTACGCTGCAATGCACCACGGCTTCGATGACACGGGTTCGCGCGCGCTCTAGCCTATCTTGGGAGAGGTATAGCATGAGTGCTCCTTAGAGGCAAGGGCGGCGAGGCTTCATCTTATGTACTTTGGACATGTGGGCACGAGACCAGTCCCCAGAGAAGGACGTCAGGCCTGGTAAAGCCAGGGGCGGCGAGAAACAGGAAGGCCTTCAATGAGATGGAGTGCCACGTGGCTGCGAAGTGGGTGTAAGCATGGGAACACCTGTGAGGATGGTGGGGAGCGAGCGGTGTTTGTTCTGTTGGGCACAGGGTCGCTATGAGTCAGAACAGACTTGACGACAACTAACAACAACAACAGCATCCTCCTCCTCCCGGAGGGCAAGTGGAGAGAGGCCTCCCTGGGAAGGGCTGCCTTCCAGCGGAGCCTCGTTCTCTCTCCGGGCATTGGATTGCCCACGTGGAGCAGCGGTTCCGCACAGGAGTGGGGGCGCATGGCACCCCCACGGGGCAGACGCAGGACGTGCTCATACAGCACAGGGAGTCCCGTGCCCTGCAGAGCACGCGTGCTTGTTCCATACTAACCTTAAATGCCAGTGTGAACAGGGAGAGGGTGTCCAGAGCCGTGAGGCACACCTCGGTGGCGATGTTGGCTTCCAGTAAGGACTGGTGGAGCACGTCGGCGTCCGAGTGGCCATAGCCTGCATGGATCATAAGACAGAATCACTGCCAGGGTCGCTGCGGACAGCAGGGCTGCGGGGGCAGGGGACTCACAGCCAACTCTTGATTACTTCGCGGAGGCTGCCTCTGGGCCCATGCCTCCCTTGGCCTCCGTGTAGGCAATGGTGATGTTTCCACCCAATTCACCCCTCTTTCTCAACTCCAGGAGGACCACCTGGCAGCCAGCGTTCACGGCGTGCCCACTTTGGAGCAGCTCCGCCCAGCGCCGACCGCACGGGGTGCCATGAATTGGCAGTGACCCGGCAGCCAGTGGGTTGGGTGCCAGCCACAATTCTGTGAACTTGGCCCGCATTGCTCCATTTAGCCCAACAGCCCTGTGAGGTGTGTCCATCACTAAGCCCCCCTTTGACAGAGGAGGAAACGGGGCACCGAACGGTGAAGCCGCTTGTCTGAGTTCACACAGTTAGAAGACCGACGAGCTGGAGTTGGCACACAGGCAGGAGCCTACTAATTCAGCGACAGCGCTTACTAAGCTGTAAGGATGACCGAGCGGCTAAGCCGAGATTTCTGAAGCTTCCCCTGTCGAGCGAGTCAGCAGCACAGCACGGGGGTTAAGAGGGTGAGCCTGAGGGGCAGGCTGCTTGCTGATCACTGACTCCAGCTCTGGGACTTTCCAGCTGTGTGACCTTGGGCACGTCCCTTGACCTCTTTATTCTTCAGTTTCCTTATCTGTGAAATGGGCTCAATGATACTATGGACCTCAAAGGGCTGCGGTGAGCATTAATTCATTAATGTCTGTGAAGCTCTTGGAATAGTGACATGTCAGGTTAAAACATAAAGATCACTATAATCAAGAGTTGACTGTGCTAACAGCATTCTAGCTGCTTTCACGAAAAGCATTGACAGCCAGGATGTCCGAAAGAAATGTTCCAGAAAAGAAAAAGACTTTAAGGATCTATCATTTAAATTTAGCTGAATTGCACATGGTTTAAATATGAACTGGCATCTTCTCTATATGGCTACAAAATCAATTTAGTAATATGAAGTATAGTTGGGTGTGAAATTAGAGATATTACATTATAAAATGATATGCATTAGCAGAAACACATGGAGAGATGCAAAGATGTTACAGTCTTGATCTAGATTATCAAGAAAGATGGTGATACAGTCATGCGTCGCTGAACATTCATGGTACGCTCTGTGAAACAGGACGTCATATGATTTGGACGTTGTGAAAATACCATGTTCTATACAGGTGGGCCCTGGACTACAAACAAGCTCCATTCCTAAGTCTGCCTTAGATAAAATTTGCGTGAAAGTTGGAACAGGTAGGCATGGTTGGTACTTAACAGTCATATAAATGCCTGTTACAATAGATGTTGTACGAAATGTTTCTATGTATAAAAAACTCAAAGAAACACTTCCAGATGTAGCTTTAACACAATAATCCCATAGTAATGATGATGATGATAATAATGTTTTGATCCTGAGCCATCGCATGTGCCTCAGAAATTTTAATATGGGGTTTGGCTATATGGGGTTTGGGGCCACAGACGTCTATTGGGTCAGACATCGCCTGAATGGACATGACGCGGTGCATGACTGTATAATAAAACACCCTATAATGTCTTTCTCCAAGGAGCAAATACAAATCAATACTTAGTATTTAGATGAAGTTCTCAATACTCCAGAGAGGAGGACATTTCAAAAGTAGATCAAGAAAATGGAGAACAGAGAGCTGAGGGAATGTTCATGAGACCAGTAATGGGGTCAAAATAAAATCTATACCCCGCCCCCCCCCCAATTCCTTACCCAGGCCACTGCATCATAGCCTATGCTATTAGGATACAACAAATAAGTTGTGTTATCTATCCTATCTATATCAGGATCAAACAAATTAGCAAGCATGAAATCATGGCCATTGTAATACATGTTACAACTATAAAGTGACTTTCAAAAGGCTACAAAAAGTTTTTGAAAGCTGCAAGGGGCTTTTTAAGATAAGGCAAAAGCACCACTTATATGTTTGTTTGTTTGTTTTTAAATCTAACTGTGCTTTGCTTTTAAAAGATGGCTCTGAGGCTGTGGGTTTGTGAGCTGCCTTATCGCCACCCCACGAGCGACACCTCTCTGTGGCAAGGACATGCAATGCAGTGTGGCCTCATGCTAGTTCTCTCTCTTTCTGCTTCTGGGTAGGCAGTCCTCCACAGCAAAGATGGAGTTTTGAAAAATATTCATAAGTCAAGGCACTACATGGTCCAGTGTGGTCTGTGTGGTCAGATACAGAGGCAATAAAAGGAAAACAAACAGATCGATGATGGTGACTACAATGAATACAAACCATGGTACGAGGGGCAAAACAAAGCCAGCGCCTATTATTAGACCAACCAAGATGATACCCCACAGGGCAAAAGGCCCCTTCACCCCGGACGGCCGTTTACCCCAAGTCAGCCTCTGGGTGGGCTATGTTTTACCAAGAGACTTGCTTTGGTGATGGCTTTCAGTTCTCTCTCTGCCCATCTACCCCCCCATCCATCATACTCTAGGTAACCTATGAGAAGCCCTGGTAGCGTAGTGGTTATGCAGTGGGCTGTAATCCACAAGGACTGCAGTTCAAAACCACTAGCTTCTCCTTGGGAGAAAGATGAGGCTTTTTACTCCCGTAAAGAATTATAATCTCGGAACCCCACAAGGGCAGTTCTACCCAGTCCTATCAGGTGGCTCTGAGCTGGCATTGACTCAAGGGCAGTGCATTTGGTTTCTGGTTTGAGGCAAGCTATTGGCTCAGCAGAGAACAGGGGATCGATCATTCTGAAAACCCCCACAGGTTTTTTTCACCTATTCCTGTCTCCTTCCGGTCCCTGGAACAATTCCACAATTGGAATTTAATGTTGCATTGTTTGATATGAATATATAATCAATGAGCTAGGCTAAGTGAGTCATTATATGATTATGTATACACTATGCAAAACATGGTGACGACAAAATTTCTCTAAGCGCTGATAAATCTCACAAGCAGTTCAATTCTTTATCTAATATGCTGGGCCTTCAAATTAGACTACTACTGTCGGATAAGGGTCCAATTCAAACAGAAGTCTGCCTTTGTCTGAGTCGCTTAGGAATCTAGAAGTAATGATCCTACTAGCCATTTAAATATATATATATATATAAATTTCCTTATACTGTTTTGTCTTAAAAAAAAAAACCCCAACAACAGGATTCTAGTTGTTGTTGCTGTTATTAAATCCTTAAAAATAAGAGGTGGCTGGGACAATTTGCTCTGTGATACCTTATGGGGACTGTGTGCCTCAAGGCCTGGCGCCAAAGCCTGGCTGGAATCACTCATCAGGGAAGGTTTCATGGAACGGTTGTCACGGTACACAGGCTAGCAGAAAAACAAAGATGAGCCGGCAATTCCAGGAAGAGGGTCTTAGGAGACAAGCCGTTTCTTAGAGTCAGCAACTTTTTGGCCCAGGCAAGTGCAAAAGCAATGGTAAGCACGTTGGTTCCCACTAGAGGGCAGCGGTGCCCGGGAGCTCTGGGATTTTGGGCTCCTGCCGCGCCCCGCCTGGGAACCAGGGGGCAGAATTTATCAGCCGTGCCAGCCTTGTCAGGCACGTGTGGCCTCGGCCTCCTTAGGCTTCGCTACTCAAACGTGCCGTTTTCATACTGCTGTCACTTTGAAAAGGGGCTTGTTCTAAAACCCCAAGTGTCTCAAGCCCACGGGACGAAACGGCCCCACAGGATGAGCTACGCCGACCCTGACTCTGGTCAGTAAGTAAACCGAAGCCAGCCCACTGCTATGGGCTGACAGAGCTCCACCGAATGACTGTGCTTGCTGACTACCACTGTGCCTCTCCCTTCCAGCCCGCTGCCCGGCGCCCGCGGTGACCTGGTGCAGAGGACACTCCCGACAGAAGAACAAGGGGCCTATTCTGAGCGCAGCCACGTCCATTGTCGTAGCTGGCTCGACCTTCATGAATCCAGGGTTCTTACTGGGAAACATTGTTCCCGCACTTTCCTCTGGAACACTGTACAGATCCAGAAAAATAACGGGGCAATATACACATTGGACAACATGGACTCTTCTTGCTAAAAGAAGTCCCTCCAGGTACAAAGACCGAATTTTCCAGATGTCTGAGGAGACCTGGTGGCATCAAGGTTCCCCATTAGGTTGTGATCTGCAAGGGCCTCAGTTCGAAACCGCCAGCGGCTCAGTGGGAGGTAGGCGGGGCTCTTGACTTCCGTGACCAGTCACCAGTATCGGGAACTCCCAGGGGCAGCCCCACCCTATCCTACAGGCCACTAGGAGTGGGCCTCAGCTCCATGGTGGCTATCCCCCAGCAGCTCCCAAGTGCGGCTTCTCAGCTCATTTTCACTGCTAACCAGTTTTCCCCACAGATGGATGTGGAGTGTAAAGAATAACACCTCAGAGCCACATGGATGCAATTTGGTATTTGTTCTCTTCTTCCTTCTACCAGGAAGAGAACATAGACGCTCCGAGTGATTTGTGGGAACAAGTCTGCCAAGTTCAGACTGTGCTCCTGAGAAACTGGTTATCACGCCATCCGCTTCCCTCTTGCTTCAGGACGCCGCAGCCTAAAGCTTAGCCATGGCTAGAACAGGGCACTGAGTAAGAGAGGTGAGCCCGAAAGTGTGCAGCCACTCGGGGTAAGCCTGTGATCCACCAAAACCGAGGGCACGCCCTGCCCTCGAGGTCTGTTCCAAGTCCGGGGGCCTCCTGTGGGTTTCTGAGTCTGAGTGGCTTTACGGGAGCAGACAGCCTTGTCTCTCACCCAACGAGCAACTGGTGGCTTTGAACAGCCAACCTGGGAGTTCGCAGCCAACACCTACACAGGCTTCTGGAGTGTCCAGGCAGTCTCAGCTGTGGTCCCCTGCTTGTCTTCATCTCAGTGCACCCTCCCGGGGAGACGCTCGAACCAATCTGTAGTTACAGCAGATTCTTTACCGCAATCACTTTCACTGCCTACGGGTTTTAAATCCCTGAAAATTAAGGCCCCAGAGGTACTATTCTCTTTCTTTCTCTCTCACTGCCATTGAGTTAATGCTGACTGACAGCTCCCCTGCAGGACTGGGCAGAACTGCCTTGGTGGGTTTCTGAGGCGGTAACTCTTTATGGGAGGCACCACAGGAAGGCCAAGTAAGAACTGTATCTACCTGTTCCTACTCATCTACACATTCCACTTGACACAGTTAGGGGTGGATCCTTTATTTTAAAAAAAGACACAAAACCCCCACAGTTTACCTCTTTTTAAAGAGACATTAATATATGCTTGAATCTCATTTTTAAGTATTAATTTTAAATCAGAGAAAGCCTACATTCTCTGTATTTTTTCAAAGTAACTTGTTATTATATCCAACGTTGTTGCTATCGGGTAATATCAAGCTATGAGTCAAAGCCTGACTCCCCAAGGCCTTCTAGGCCACCGTCTTTACAAGAGCAAGTCACCAGGCCTGGAGCCAAAGCCTGGGCTGGAATCACTGGTCGTTCAGCTAGCAGCACACGCTGTTTATCACACGCTGTTTACCACTGCTTGCAGTGCTTCATGGCTATCAAGGCATTTCTGAGAGAGAGGTCCTTATAAACCCACCCAGTCCGGCTTTCCTTGAAGTTTAGGCGGATCTGGTGGTGCTGTGGGCTACACAGTTGGGCTGCTAACTGCAAGGTCAGCAGTTTGAAACCACCAGCCACTGCATGGAAGAAAGATGAGACTTTCTATTCACGTAGAGTTACTGTGTCGGAAACCACAGGGCAGTCTGGCCGGTTCTAGAGGGCCGCTATGAGACTGGCTATCAGTGGCTTTGGCTTGCTGTTTGGGTGGATCTGGATAATATCCCCGATAGGCCCTTACCCAGTTGGCTTTCACACATCTACCAGGAGGCGCTGGGCTAGCCTTTGGGGCAGCTCAGCTCATCCAGCTCAGGGGCAGTGAGTCAGAAAATGCTCCCCGCCATGGAGCTAAAATCTCACTCCCTGCGACATAATCCAGTGGTCTTCAGACACCCACCCTGCCGAACTACAAGAAACAGAGTTTTCTACAAGTGTCTCTGCCTCGTAGCTGGCTTGACACCCTCTCACCACCAGTTGAAAGATGATTGATCATGCAGGTGAATTTAGTATCTTCCTGTACCATGAAATGAATACAAGAGTGATGTTTTAGATATTTTTGGGGGGGTGGGTAATAAGACTTCCTAGCAACCACATCACAGTTTCCCTGCCATGATGTGGTTTATACGAAGCACTCTACAGGTAATGGTCACTGTGTCACTGGTTCGATTTCTCTTTATTGATTTGCAGCAGGTACAAGTTATAGTAAGTAGGTCTGTGGGTGCATGTTCTAAACATTCATTTTTCATGTGTGCCTGGGCAAGGACCCCAACAATGGAACCCATGACCTTCAGTGGCATGCTTTCAATACTCAAGAGTGGCTTTTTCACGACTTTCTTTCAAAATCTGGCCCCATAGTGCAACAACGTCTTTCCCAGGATCCCACCAGGCTGTCACTGAGTGATGGGGCCGGTGGTGGGAGTGAACCCAGAAACCGACAAGGGATTGAGTCCATCACAGTCCTCTGCTGCCCTCTGCTGGTCGAGCTGAGGTTGGTCAAAGCCTTGCCTCCCAGGTCAGGATGACGAACTGAAAAACTGCACCTGTGGGGGATCCGTTCCGAGACCCCAGTGGATGCCAGAAACTGGGAATAGTACCAAATCCCATGTAGTCATACATGCCAACGATAAGGTTTAATTTATAAAGTAGACCCAGTAAGGGATTAAAAAGGAGCCCTGATAGCATAGTGGTTATGCACTGGGGTACTAACCAAAAGGTGAGTAGTTCAAAACCACCAGCCACTCCATAACAATCTTGGAAACCCACAGTTCTACCCTGTCCTGTAGGGTGGTTATGAGTTCGAATTGACTGGGTGTTGTTGTTGTTTTTTTCTCTTTTTTTGGAAGGGATTAACAATAGTAATAAAATCATTATAACCATACACTGCATTAAAAGCTACTGGAAATGAGGTGAGGTGAATGACACAGGGCATTGCACTAGGCTGCTATGTCCAGACTGACTGACGGCAGAAGGCAGTCAAGGGGAGGCTTTATGGGCTGGAATCAACTTGATGGCAGGGGTACTGTAGTATAGGAACCCTCCCTATTTCCACTCCTTCCTGAAGTAAATCCACTTTAGACTCTGGGGTCTCTCTGGCAAGTCTCATACATACGGGCTCTGTATCATATTGGTTGGCCCAACAGGAGATGCTGTATGATTCACTGCTAAATAAGAATGCTATGTGGGGGAAAGGGAGGGGCAAACAGACTACGAATGTCCCACAAACTATCGAGCTACAAAAGCAGAAATCATATGTATGTATCTATACATGTCTACCCACATGCTTCCTGTGCACATAGAGTACACGCTCTCCCCTGTGGTTCTCTACTGAGTTACGTACTAGGGCTGCACAGCTCATCAGGAAAGGCTGAGGGCACCCAGGGGCACCATTGGAACAAAGGATGTCAATGAAGGCAGAGTTCCTGCAATGATGCGGGAGCCATCGGCAGCAGGGATGGCAGAAACCCGGGAAAAGGCTCACAGAACCATCTACCTGGGGTCACTGGGAAGGCGGGAGGAGGAAAGGGGATTGGCGTGCTTATCACTGAAAACTGCCTGAAGCAAAAAAAAAAGACAGGATGCTGGAGAAGCGAGGCTGGGGGCGGGGTCCTCTGCAGGGGTGGGGGGGTAGGAGGAGCGGATGGAAACCAACCACTCGAGCAACATGGCTTTTGGCAGCAGAACAAGTCAGCTGCCTCTCCCCTCCAATCCAAACCCCGTCTGCAAAATCGGTTTGCATCGGGAGGTGCTTAGTGCGGTGAAACTATTTATTCCTGCGTGGATCATGCCTTTGGTTTTTGTGTTCTGTGCCTCCTTCCATGATCATTTTCAGAGGCAGGAGCCTTTGAGTGCGTGTGATTTTTTTAAATGCCAGTCAGAGTTCAGGCATTTGCTTGAACAAATGAGCCCCGTGTGGTTTGGAAAAAAGGCTGGTCCTCTGGGTCTGAAAAATCAGCAAACTACCCTAGAAAAGTTGAAAGACAAAACTATGGAGAGGGCGGGGGATGGGAATCCCAGGGCGCGGGGGCGGGAGGGATCCCCTGGAGCACAGCTGTCCTCGGACAGCTGTCCAACACACAGGGTTGGCCAAGAGTCAGAACCCTCTCCACGGCAACTGGTCTTGCCTGTTGGTTCTGTGTATCGTGAAAGATTTCATCTCTGTGTGGCACAGAGAACACGAGAAATAACAAAACGCCTTGCTTTTCTTGATTTCTACCCTCTGGCTAGGAAAAAAACCCAAACAACCCCACAAGACAGGAGGCTGAAAAGAAAACAGATAGATCACTAGTTGCAGCTGGACCTGCCCCTGAAGGGCATTCTGCAAGGACTGTCAGGGCCCAGAGCCGGCAGTGTGCGAGGGGCCCTCAGGGAGCGGCAGGCTGACAAGACGCCGCCGACTTAACGTTGGGCCTCCAATCTTAGACAGAGCGACATTACCAACTGCATTAACCTCTGCTGGGGTGGGAGGGTGGAATGCGGCTGTAATCTGAACGCTTCATCCTTCTCACTATCCTCGATACAGGGCCGTGGGAGACTGCCTTTCCTGGCAGCCCACGCGAAGAAGGCGGCGTGCAAGTCAGAGGGAATGGGACTCCCACAGGTAGAAATGATGGGCAGATGGTGACAGCCATGAATTTAAAGGAGTTCTTTCTCGGGATGAGGACAAAAACATGCTAGATTAAATATCCTCCCCTCTGCCTTGCTGGGAGAGGAGATGGAATGGTTCTGAGAAAGGCGGTTGACTGTGAATGGCCCCACTGCGGCTTACCACCCGCACGTTAGTATTGCGTGGGTTTTCCCGCTTTGTTGAGCACGGGGAAACACGCGAGAAGATGGCCCCCTGGATGGTCCAGAGAGAGCACACAGCGCCACGTCCCCTGTGGTGACTAAGGAGAGAGAGGGGACCAGACCTCTGCGCCCACGTTTTGGCAGAATCTCTCTGGTGGAGTTAGAAAGCCCAAAGTTAGGAAGGCGAGCGGAGAAAAGAGGTCTGGGCTTGCAGGTGAAGCGGGCTCAGGAGCAGACTTCGACCTGATCAAATCTTACCATTGTCTACAGAAATCCCAAGCACACTTGATATCTTTCTCACACTGAAAACACAGAAAAAGTCACTTCGTTATTGGCTGCGTTTCCACACCCTCCACATCGGCTCAAGGACATTAGGGTGCACGGTCCATTAAGGCTTGGCAGACATTCGGGGCAGGAGTGGCAGAACACGGACGCTTGGCCAATTACACGCGTGCCACTGGGGGACAGGCTCGGGGCCAGGTGTCCTCGGGAGTGGTCAGGGAGGAAAAGAACCAACCCCCTCCAGCCAGACGTTGACAAGCAAAACGTCCGGAAGGCACTGGCCACAGACCAGGAACTCAAACAGTCGTTTAAATGCTTGGCCACCAAGTGGCTAAATTTTAGGCCGTCAAAGTGGTGAGCCGAGGGGTGAGGGGGATGGCACAGGTCCAGAATGCTTAGGTTTGGTGCCGTAGTTGGCCAGGCCCACATTCTGCCACTCCCTGGTGCTGAGTGCTCTCCGCCCGGGAAGGGCGCGCTGCCGTGAGCGCTTCACCTCTCGCTCTGAGCTGGAAGGAAAAACCAAGGTGGTGACACTGCTGTGCCTGGGGCGCTGCCCGGGTGGAGGTCGCTTGAGATGGCTGGCTGTTACGATGGTATGTCATGGGACTTACTGTGGTTAAAAGTGAGAGAGTTATCCAGGCTGCCCAGCTGCTGCAATCTGGCATGCATCATCCCTGTTCTGTTACGGGAAACAGGCAATGTCTGAGATTTTCGATCATGAACTATGGGTCCCAACCCCTCCTGGTTCCTGCAATGTGAGTGAAATGGGATAGGAGCAAAAGTTAAACGGGTCACACGGGGAGCGTTAGTGAAGTGGCCACAGCACAAACAGGAGGGGGCGCAACTGAGCAGCAAGCCCGCCTGTGGCTCTGGGGGCGCCAGGGGGCGACGATGGGCCAGCCTGGCCACAGCCCAAAGATGTGCACGGACAGAAGAGAAGCAAAACACAAGCCCAAGCACAGAGACCGTTCCCACGTAGGAAAGCACAAAAACGAAACACAACCCCCCCATCATCAAGCCGCCACTGGTGTGGCCCTGAAGGTTACCGTGCTGACAAGGGTCAAAAGATGGCAAACCTTTTTGGGATTCTCTTGGTTATAAAAATCCAAAAACAAAAAAATGTTTTTACTGGGAACCACCTCCCAACCTCCCCAAACAAGCAAGCAACAACAACCACAAGAAACAAACATGCAGAGGGGAGCGTTAGCAGGGCAGTGTCAGCACCTCCATTCTTACCCAGGCAGGAGGGGGCGCCAACCCCTTTGTTAAACTTGTCAGCAGCCAAGTGAAGAAAACAGAAAAGTGAACTGGGTTAGCAATCGGACAGCAAACTTCCTACTGTGTACCGTCACCGGAGCAGACAGCGAGTGGCACCAGCGTGGCCTCGCACCTGTCCCCGCGCCCGAGCCAGCCACCCCCGTCGTCTGTTATTGTGTGGAGGACCAGGACATGCACGACTGTGGTCACACAACAAGCTGCCGAGTGCTCCCAAGGGGACACGTGCTTAGGAAACTCAGCCGTCTACATGGCCAACATGGACAAAACTTAGAGTCAAGGGGTTTCCGCTTCCTTTTCCACGTGCAGCAGCGACCACAGCAATTCTCAGAGCAGCACACCACAGCCACGCCATTGTCCACGCCCGCCTCGGGTGCCTTCCTCATTTCAAGGCGGCCAGATGGTGCGCTGAAAGATGCAAGTATCTGCAGGACGCCGGCGAGTCAGGAGCCCTGGCTGCTTGGTGGGCTAATCACCAGGTCCACAGTTCAAAACCACCAGCGGCTCCAAGGGAGAAAGGTGCGGTCCTCTACTCCCATAAAGAGTGCCGGCAGCGAGTCTGGATTTTGGTTTGTGTGAGTTGGAAGGTTTTCTTAACCTTACAATTTGTATCCGTTGAAAACAACAAAGCTAACGGCTTCACAAAACCCAATTCTGAAGCACTTTGTGGGGCCAGAAGTTGTCAGCTTCCCACATTGGCCACTTGAAGCTCTGAGGTGTTTTACTCTGTTTTGCACACTAGTCTCCAAACGCCATCTTGTGATGTAGGTGCCAGCTGTGGCAAAAAGGGTGTGAAGCTCGCCCCCAAATAGTGCCTTTCAGTTCTGACACGCTGTCGGAGACAGTCAGGAGATGAGGTAAAATCACGAGCGGCAATGGTGTATGGACGCCCTGGAGATACTTGCATTTGGTACTCAAAAGTCAGATTTTACAAATTGCCGGTATAATGGGAAAAAGTCAAGTGTAGGGAATGTTAAGTGCCACCAAATTTAAGTGAAAAAAATTTAAATACACATTAATAGATGGAAAAAGCAAAATATTTTCCCGAAATTGGCTTTTTGAGGAGAGACATATTTTAGTTGTTAACACAAAATGTAATTCTGAAAATTTCTCAAATATCCCCAGACAAAAATGCTAATATAGAAGGCAAGTCTTCATATTTTTTAAAGTCTGTTTAGAAAAAAAAATTTGGGTTTCGTCTTTGATTGCCACAAAACAGAATTATGATGAGAGAGACAATGCCCTCAATTATCATGAAATTTAAGTTTCTCTTAAACATAAATCTAAGCTTACTTATCATTGAAATACTGAAAGCCAATCAGTGGAAAATATGATACTTAGACCAACACTCATAAATAACACGGAGGAAGGACTCACAACACAGGCAATGTAAACCAACACAGACACCCTGAGTGGTGACAGGGCAGTTGTCTGTTGCCAACCAACCAACAGACAAGATGCACTCTGAGGACATATTTCCCGGGAGGGGGCGGGCGGGGGAGGCTGTTTGGGCCCCAGCAGCCGGGGGATCGAGCTCCCCTTGAATTCAGAGTAGAAGCAAGGGTGTGTGGTCCTGAGGGGGGAGTTAGGGCTCCTGACACTCAGCCAAGAGATTTGTCAGAGAAGCAGCTCACTTACGAAGGTTTGTGGACTCCAAACCAATGCAGAGGGCTGGAAAGGGCCTTCAGTAAGCAAGGAAGGCGGGGGTGAGACGTGAGGGCTGGTGTCTGTGCGGCAGGGTGATGGTGAGAATGACTTTTGGAAATGGGCCAGTGGAGGACAGCTCGCTGAGAAGAGCAAGTGGAGACACAATGATCAGAGCATGGAGAGGAATCTGGACAGAAGCGTAGAAGGGTGGCAACGGGCCACTGCGGAAGCGTTTCCCGAGAGGTGCGTGTGAGCGAAAATGAGACAGAAGGGCTGCAGATGCTCCCAGATTTTTGCGGCGGCGGTCCAGACGCCTGCCAACTGTGCTCATGCTGTGCCTGTGAATTCCAACTGCCAATCACCACACATGACAATTCCCACACATTGGGATCCAATGATAACGCCAAGAGGGAGGGGGAGCCGGTGACAGGACGCTTCCCCCAGAACACCCCCGCCCCACGTTACCTGGCGATGTATCTCTTTCCCATGTACTGGAACTGGTGCAGGCAGACTCTGCAGGCGGGAAGGAGAGGAGTCAGGAGAAGTGTGAAGACTATATTAATTCCAACATGTTGTCTTGCTTAAAGCCATCCACATGAAAATCCATACACTCTCACGTCTACCGCGCACCCCGTGAACAGTGTTCACCAGCAGGGCTAACAGGGGCGGCCTCGCCTTTTGCTGCTATCAGTTCTGTAACCGGCTGCTCCGGAAACGCTCAGGACGACTCAGCACCATGAGAGTCCTTCCTTCGCTCAGAGTCTGGAGGTTAAGCCCTAGGCCGTTGACCTCAGAAAGCATGTGGCTTATTCTTGACTCAAAGTTAGGCCAGGGACCCTCTCTTTTGGTTCAAGTATGTAGACTGGTCCTTGACAGATCACAAGCGTATCGTTTTGTTTGTTTTTGGGTGTGTGTGTTTTGTTTTAATATATCCACAAAGACAAAAAAGGGAAGTTTCTTTTTTAAAAGTCATCTATTTAATGAACCTGTGACAGCATCAACCCCATGGCAGTGGGTCTGGGCATGCTGTCATGCTAATCAGAAGGTTGGCAGCTCAGACAGACCCAGTCGCTCCTCCGCCGGCCCTCTGCTTCCCTAAAGATTCAGAGCCAAGGAACGCAGTGGGGCGCGCGACTCCGTGACATGGGGCCACCATGAGTGAGTGAGAATCCATGGGGTGGCGCCCACCCACAGTTCAACTCATATCCCGCGAGTTCCTTGTGTGCTGATTCTACCTCAACGACAGGACACTCCCTTCCTACACGCGGCAGAGGGCACCGTCCTGAGGGGTTAAAACAAACCCGGTCAAGGGCTCACATCCACAGTCTCAGGAAGCAATGGAAACGACAGGTTTCCATCAGAGTTTGTGCAAAGACATTAGCTGATGGCAAACTCGGGTCCAGACTGTGAGACATCAAGCCAACAGACCTAACGTTATTTCTTGTCATTTGTCCAATTACTGAGTGATCGTATCTTTTGCCGCAGTTATAATAAACGTGCTGCCTGAAACCCTGCTGGATAACATATAATCCACTCTATATGTAAATTCAAAAGTTTCAAAGAAACCTAAGAAATACCGAATTTGGAAAATAATCTGGTTCTGGCAAGGGGCTGCGGACCTGTTTCTAAAAGCAGAAAAAAAACCCCAAAAACCCAAACCAAACTCACTGCCATGGAGTTGATGCTGACTTACAGTGACCCTATACAACAGGGTAGAACTGCCCCTATGCATTTCTAAGACTCTAGCTCTTTATGGGAGTAAAAATCCTCCTTTTTCTCCTTCAGAGTGGCTGGTGGTGTTGAACTGCCGATCTTGCAGTTAGCAGCCCACTGTGTAATCATTCCACCACTAGGGTACAGAAGTAATGTGAGATAATATAGGTTTATTTGAAAGATTTCACTTTTCTTATCAAATGTGTTTAAATTATAGCCATTTTTACTTAGTTTCTACATCTGCTTCAGTTATATTCAACTTAAAACAACAACACCCACCCAATTCAGTAAATATATTTTATGCTATTACAATGGCTTATGCACATAAGCAGCCACCACAGCGCTACAGCCACATATCTGCAGCACTGGGAGGCTGGCCCATTGGGTCGTGGCCATTGGGAACAGGTGTCAGGGTCATATGGAGAAGCGTGAGGGTGTGGTCATGAATGACACTAACTACATTCCTAATTCAAGGAGGCAGTGTCTTCCTCTTTCTTAGCAGGGCAAATCAAAAGGCAGTAAGCAAAGGAAATGAAAGAAAGAAAAAACCACTCACTCTGATATCGTAAAAAAATCCATCAGCTCAGACGTCGAGGCCTTGTTCCAATACGTAAACAAAGCATCTAGAAAATAAACATTGATCTGGTCAGATGTGCATGGTGTGTGCTATGCACATTATGGAGACTCAGCTACTACTGCAATGGGAAGACTGATCAAGCCATAGAGACTCATCTGTCTTTGATAACAGCCAGTAGGATCATTTAAGTTAAAGAATCTACATTTGAACACCTGACCTTGACTTTCATCACAACATCACCAGTACGATATGGAGAAATGCAAGTTTTAACTTACCCATATTATATTTTTGTGTACTCAATTTATTTAGGTGTTGTTGAGAATATACACAGTGAAACCCATGCTCATTCGACAGTCCCTACGTGTACAATTCAGGGGCAATATTGGCATCCTTGGAATTGAACCACCGTCCTCACGCTCCTTTCTTAGTCATTTTCCTCCCGTTTACAAGGCCCTGAAGACTGTCATCTCTTCTTTTGAGTTGCTGCTATTAAACTGATTCTATACTTAAAGTGTATAATGCTCAAACTGACCTTTTTTTTTTTAACTAGTTCGATTTTAAGTTGACTTCGGGGGGTATTCTTGGTTTAAGGTTTAAAGATTATCTCAGGTCAATAGTTTCAGGCTCCATGGATCCACGAAGTCGAGAATCTGTGAGAAATGAAAATTCTGTCCTACATTTTCCACCTTTTGATCTATGGAATCTTCTATCAAGAATCTTTTATCTTCTATTCAGTAATGGTAGCCAAGGCACCATTCTTTAACAGTTCTGTGAAAACCACTTAGTATTGCACAAAGTCTTAACAGTCGAAGTCGCTTTGCCTTTTACCACCTTATGAAGATGTTGAGAAGCAGGTGAAGGCACATGTCTTAGGGAAAAAGCAATTTCTTTGGGGCGCAGACAGGAGCGTAGCTGCAGGGGTTTTGGTGGCTCATGAAGGTGTGAGCACATCACAGATTCCCCAGCTACACTGTCAAGGACAGCCGCAGGCAGGGAAGGAGGGAGGGATATTTACTGTGCATCTCTCACGTACCTGGCTCTGCACTAGGTGGTCCTGAGTTCACACACACCGAGTCATTTACTCCGAACTAGAATCTTGTGAGAGATGCTGCTGTGTGTCTTCTGGTGGATTCTAACTCGGAGCTCTCCCATGATCAGAGTGGAACTGCCCCACAAGGTTTCCCGGGCTGTCACCTTTACAAGTGCCAATCATCAGGTCTTTTCTACCAGGGCATGGCTAGTGAGTTTGAAGTGCTGCCCGTCTGGGTAACAGTGGAGCATGTAATCACTGCACCCTCAGCGGTCCTCAGCGAGACAGGCCGAGTCCCCTCTCACCAGTTAACTAAGGCAAGAGAAGCTAGTCATGAATCTTCCCAGTTACCAACCTCAGGAACCACAGCTCAATGGGGCTTTAAATCCAAATGCATCTGACTCTGAAAACCACGCCTGGAGTCTCAGACCAGAAACGCGGGTGGGTCGGAAACACCACTGTTTCGAATTTTGAGTTTAGCACCCAGCAGGATGGATTCTGGTTACATGTGGCTGGTCATCCGAGTGAGTGAGCACTCCAAAAGTCACATGAGTGCTGAAGAGCTCTGTGGGCCGACTGCAGACCCCTGTGGCCCACCCCGCAGAACGCGAGCGCTCGGCACCGGGGACTGAGAGCTGGTAAAGCAGCACCGAGCTGGCCTCCTCTCAGGCTAGTGGCTTAGGAGAGTGAAAGACGCAGACCCAGGCTCTGCAGAGAGGGAGGCATGGGCACCATGTCTATGGAAAATGGTGCCTTCCAGAAGCACTGAAAGGACCCCTCTGTCCCACTACTTGGCACCTATCTTTTTGATAACTGTGCCATAATCCCAGCTCTAAAATACAAGCCAAGCTTGCTCGCCTTTTGCCTGACACACCATGAGAGATGTGATCTGTCCGGTCTTCCAGCCTTGTGAGGTGCTAGATTCTGTGCCTGTGCTATCTCCCATTCAGGACAGTGCTCTGCTCTACTAAGGGACAGGATTAGGTGGGGCTAAAACCTGACTGTAGCAGACAGACGGTGTGAACCAAGGCACACCCTTTGTTTCTTTTGGAGTGTGGTTGGTCAAAAGGCAAAAACCACACCTCCATCCAAGCTCTGCGGTAAGAGCCATCTAGGGCACAGAGGGATCCCAGGACCACCAGAGGGGCACGTTTCATATCTCGCTCTGAAGTGGGGGAGGCGGGACTGGAGAGAGAGACTAGGCAGAAAGAGTTGCTATAAAGTTAAAAACAAGCAAACAAACAAAAACCCCTCACTGCCACCAAGCGGACGCATAGCAACTGCCCCTGTGGGTTTCCGAGCTGCAGCTCTTTGCGGGAGTGGAAAGCGCCTCATCTTTCTCTCAGAGCAGCTGGTGGTTTTGAGCCTATAAAGTTGCAGCCTAACGAATTCTGGTCATTGGGCAAATGTTCTCTGAAAGCCTGCCACTCCCATGCATCAATTACAGTTAGATTTTTACACCTAAAGTAAGGTGACCAGACATCCCACTTTTGGCGGGGCAGTCCAGATTTTGAACAATTTTCCCCCGCGTCCCACGACATTTTTAAAAAGTCCCGATTTTTGGAAAGAATACATGACAAGCTAGGGTAGTATACGGTTTTCGGTTGCCATGTGGCTATTTTGCCAGGATATTAGTTTTATCAGTGGTGTCCCGCTTTACCAATGTTAAAATCTGGTCACCTTAACCTAAAGGTGAAATAATTAAGACTTTGGGAGCGGGGAGGGGGGGGGGAGAATATCTTCAAAACACACACACACACACACACACACACACACTCATTCTAATTATAAAGGAAACTGTTAATAACATCGAGGGCATTTACAAAAAACCCCCAAAGATACTGAGAAACTACTGCAGCGGGGCCTGCATTCATACAATGTGGGTATTGGCCTTCAGAAGGGCTGACTCTACAGGGCCTTTACAAAGCAGTTACTGTCTCGTCACATCTCAGATTCCATGTTTAAAACTAGATATTCTTTACACAAAGGAAAAAATAGGGCTTACCTCTGGTTAACAGTCACTATCCTATGGCAATGTTTAGAACTTTTTACTTTTATAGGAAGACTCTGAATTTGATCATTAAAAATATATTTTTAGAAAGTGTTCTGTACATTTGTATTTGGATAACATTTCAGAAAGGAAAAAGTGACTGAGTTGCTCTTTTTAAAAGTGGATAGCTTAAAGTAACTACGTGACAAAGGAAAAGAATAATCCGGGGGGGGGGGGGGGGGGGGTGACGGTTTAGTTATGCATCTGAAGGCCAGGATGGTCCCAGCATCCAGTGACAAGGGCAGGCTGCTCACCCTGCTGGAAATGAAGTGCGGCACGGAAGAGACACACTGAGCAGGGCAGAACTCCCTCCCAGCAGATTGTGAGCGCCCACATCCACGCCCCCAAAGGAAAGCCGCAAAAGAGGCCTTCTGGTTTTCAGAAACAGCATTCTGGTGTCAACAAGAGCTCGTGTTAATTCAACGACCGTAAGGAAGCTCACAGATTACCTTCTAATTTGCTGCAGGCGAAGTGAGACAGGACTTTTGACCAAGAGAAGCACTTTGACACTGCACTTAGACAAACTGCAAGAGGCTGGCTCTGTCACACCACCCCAGCTGTGACTGTCCTGCCTGCACGCCTGGCAGCCTTATGGGTGACGCATCAGCCCGCTGACGCCCGCTGCGACTTGCGGCTGAGTGTAACTGCCGTCTGGGACCTTCTGAGAACTCCACGCTCAGCCTGTCTTCCAACAGGCGCTTTGGGGTGAGTTTGAACTCTCATACTCTAGTGTGTAACTGAACCACCTTCTGACACTACTCACTGCCGTCCAGTCGATGCGGCCTTAGAGTGACCCTATAGGACAGGGTAGAACTGCCCCACAAGTTTCTGAGGCTGTAATTGTTTACGGGAGTGGACAGCCCGTCTTTCTCCCTAGAGCTCCTAAAGCATTAATTGTTGGGGGGGTCCGTATGAAACAGGGTGAGTGTCTACAGCAGCACTCCTACGAGCCCTTCCACAGTCATGTTCCCAGGTAAAGCCTTACACGCAGTCTAAATGGAAGGCGTGTGTGGATCCCCCAACAAGGCACTTTTCTAATAGGAATAATTGCCTAATACAGTTACGCCACGTTGCCAGTAGGTAGGAGTTTGTTTGGACAACTAAGAGCTATTTCAATGATCTGCTTCTGTCTCTTTTAGCTAACATGGCAGGCTCAAGTCTAATATGAATTTTTAAAAATAAGCCCATTCACATTTTAGAGCTTATTTTCAAAAATAAAACAAAGAACAGAAATATTTTCCTGCACTATAGGTCCCCAAACTTACTTGGCCTGCAACTCCTCTTGTGAGAAAAGAAAAAAAAAAATTATCCCACACCATGCTGGCAATGAAATATTTTTGTACCATAGTCATAATCCAGGATAAAGTATAGGTATCTGTTTTTGTAACACTCTCCCCACCCCAAGCACTAGGGGTCAGTATTGCCCACGTTGGGAAACACTGCTCTCAACCAAGGCATTGATTTCTATTGTTTCTGTGAGCTGCCCGTCAAGTTGGCTCCTGGTGGCCCCAGGCACAATGGGGCTGGACCACCGTAGCCATGATGTTGTTAGTGGCTGGGTTTTCAGAAGCATATCTCCCCTGAGACTGGGTGCAGCACAGCAGCACAGGGCCGCAGTGACGGGTGGGCGGTGGATGCACATTAAGTCCCCTGGCCAGGACCTGAACCTGGGCCCTCTGTAAGGCAGGTGGGAATTCTACCACAGAACTTCGCTTGCTCTCTCACATCTACTCTGCATGGAGTAAATGAGCAAGCAGTTAAAAATTTAAAATGCCAACAGATATCTTTTTAGAAAGTTCCTAAAATAAAACACATAAAACAAAAATCTTCATTTTTCACCTACCATCAGACATGCTTTTTAAGATGTAAAGGAAACACATCAGCAGGCTCTTAATCTCAGACTGGTCGAGCTTGTCGCACCGAACCACCGAATTTCCCAGAGTGCCGCTTTGCTGGTGCTAAAAAGAAAATGCAGGTGATTTTTCTCCTCAAGAAACAAACGGAAAGATTATAGTTCCACTTTTCTCCTCTGAAAGAAAGACTCTTAGGATTGAGTCAAATCATTGTCAATTGGAAGTTGGGAGCAATCTATTTGCAGTTAACTACAGGCAGGTTTTCACATAAAGACTGGACAAATGCAGCCCCACAGAAGCACTGGTGTGTCTTCTTTGAATACCTCTCGCCAGGACAAGCCAGAAGGCACAAACCTTTCACACCGGAGAACCACCATTTTGGTGATCAGCCTGGTTCTAAAATGTCAAGGAAAACTGCATGCAGAAAACCCCAAACACACATGTGTGCTAGGACACCCCCCACCCCCACCCCCCGCCCCCAGAAAGGATACAGAAGAGACGGCAAGTCTACCCACACCCTCGGGGAACCATGTGGCCATCTGTGGACATCGCAGGCAAAGACCACCAGCAGGTGCCCGAGAGGAAGAAAGAGCACAGCACTATCCCAAATCCTAAGCGATGAGGCCGCTCCATCATCAGCTTAGCTCAGCACTGCAAACGCCAGGAAACTTGGGGTCAGAGGGGTTTTGCCACTAAGCCACTGGCCTGCGGGTCTAAAGAGTATATGTTTTCCAAAACACAGAACAATCCATGAGATTTTAAAACCCTTCGAGTTCAATCTCCAATTGAAATCAAGAAATTCTCTTTTTTTTTTTTTTAACCAAATCCCAAGCCAAAAGATCAGTTAAGGGAGTCTAGATGGGGCCGCCTCCATCCAAGGCGCTGTCAGGCAAATGAAGCCGCATCCACAGTGATCAGGTTAAATACTGTGCATGGAGATTTCAAGGGACTCAAACAGAAAACAAAAAACCTCACTGCTATCAAGTCAACGCCACAGCGACTCTACAGGACAGGCTATAACTGCCCCTGTGAGTTCTCGAGACTGTAACTTTTTACAGAGGTAGTCAGTCCATCTTTCTCCCGTTAAGCAAGAAACGCGGGTGCAACTAGTGGCAAAACTGTGGTGCAGGTGTGCCGCCCGTAAGGGGCGTTGCTGGGAGAACTCAGTACTTCTTGCGGGGAGAGGGGAGGTGCAGCATGCAAAGGCTCCTCTGACAAAGGTGGCAAGGTGAGCAGGGAAAAGTCCACAGTGACCCGGTTTTTCCTGGCCGACTGGCAGCTCTCCGCCTCCTCTCCGGCGCTGCGTACGACGCAAGCAGAGTGCCTCCTCAGTAGCTTCTCCCTCTGCCACGCGGAGGCATGTTAGGGTCAGAAGTTAAATACATCATGACACACCTCCATCAGGGGCCACAGCAACAAGTGGTAAAGTCAGAGCTCCCTGCCTCAGAGCAGTGAGATGACAAACCGGATTCATAGGGAAGGATGCTGTCCTAGGTGCTGAGACCTGGGCACGCGTCCTCGAATCACTCACCTGCCCACTGGTGAACGGGGGAAACTGCGTGCTAAACTGCCTAAGAAAACGCTACCCAAGATACCAACCTGCCATGGGCCTTTCCCGTCCCCACTAAGTCCTACGTAGTCCGAGCCCCAGTTCTCTCAAAAAGAGGAGGCACTGAACACAAAGGGGGTGCCTTGGTAGAGAGAAGGGAGGTACCCCGTTTCCCTGAAAGTAAGACACCCCCGAAAAGACCTACTTACAGTTTTGCCTCTGGCTGAAATATAAGGCATCCCCTCCAAAAATAAGGCCCCCCGAAGCTACCGTAACTCTGGACTATGGACTGTAACAGCGGGCGCCGCAGCGCAGCTCACTGTTGGCCGCAGTGCAGCCAGAGCAGACAGGAAGTGCGAGATATCTTTTAATAAAACAATAAATGTGTACCGTATTCTTCTTCATGGAGGAATAAGACAACCCCTGAAAATAAGACCTAGCGCATCTTTGGGAGCAAAAATTAATATAAGACACTGTCTTATTTTGGGGGACACAGGGTAGCAGGAACAGTGGATCACGTCCTCTTCTGTGGAACTGGCTTTTGACTGAAGACTCTTTTGCCTACAAAGAGCGTTCTCCCAGCAAGAAGACGGTGATGATGCCAAGCCTGGCCAACCTGCTAGAACCATTCACTTAAGGTGCCCCATGGTACACACGACCCCAATCTGAACTCCTGGAACCTGGAGTCAGGGAGATCCAGGGAATGGGCCCATCTTTAGATCATCAGTAATCATCTCCAGAAGCCCACACCAAACTCAGCCACTGAGCTGATGTGGACGCATCGTGGCCCTGTAGGTTAAATGGCCCCGTAGGTTAAAGGTTCGACTTAAGCGTTAGAAGACATCAACGTCAGGCGAAAACTATTAGTTAAAAGCAAGGAAGTCACCTTATCCAGGGAATTGCTTTTCTCATTGCTCCTCTCTGGAAGGCTGGTGCCCGAATCTGTGCTGACGAGGGCTCCTCTCGAGTCAGCACTCCTCACACTGTTGACGTTTGGAGTTGAAGTTGTGTATGGAGAAGCTAAGTGGGAATTAAATCAAGACCAAAATTGCAGTAAGACAGATCGACATTCTGGTAAGTATTAAACTTTAAGAGGAACTACCGCATACACTCGGGTATAAGCTGATCTGAATACCAGCCGAGGCACCTAATTTTACCACAAAAACTGCATTAAAAAACGTGCTGAAAACTCGGCTTATACATGAGTATATACAGTATATGTTACTTATTATTATTTCTCTTAGGAAGCTGGCCCAAGAGTTGCATTCAATTACCCCAGCTGTAATGAATATAGTCATAAAGAGATACAAATTAATCTTTACTCTGAGATATTAAGACATACAAGACTTAGAAATAGGGGGATACCAGCAGTTGCCTCTTAGTTGGGTGTACAAGTCAATTGATTTATTAGAATCCTGAGATTGCTAAGACTTAGAAAAATAAAATAAAAAAAACCCTGCTTAACACAATCAAATGAAAATGGGAAGCTATCCAGTACGTCCAGAACACTCTAAAAACCACGCTAAGGTGCCCTGTGAACTCAGAGGGGTGTCGTGGGAGAGCTGACAATCTCAGGGAAAGCACAGGGCGACCGGCCACCTGCAGTTTCAACGTGAGATCTTGCTACTTTCCTTTGGAGGACACGATGCTTTTGTGAAGCGTGTCTGGTGGCTGCCCGGGTAAAAAGCAAGCGCTGGGCGAAATCAGCAAGGAACAGGACATGGGGGTAGCGGTGCCCAATCTGACTTCGAGTTTGAAGAAGTTGTGCAGTGCCCAACAGGCACACGCATCGATTTAGTAAATAAGTTGGCACAACCTAATGCCATTGTGGTAGTTCCATAATTTCATGTCGACTTAACGATATTTAAAATTGTAGGGGTGGAATTCAACCTGTCAATCAGGCCATAGCCTGATGGTGCCTCCTTGTGGGTGTGGCCTTCTGATAAGGAGGGCTCAGGAAACCCCACCCCCACCCCCTCTGCCTTCACCTTCCTGCTGCTGGACACCCTGAGAGCAGCCGGAATGCTGCGGTATTCCCGTCAACCTTGCATCCATGCGACTGTGCATCAACTGTGCCTCTGCATCGTTGCATGTGGCTGGGTGAGTCTGAAAAGGGGCTTGTGGACGAGTGTCAGACGTAAGGACTTGAGATGGACTGGGCTGGGAGGCTTTCTCGATATAAACTTACTTTTGATGCAAAGCTTTTTCCTACACGCGTATGAGTGGCACTGGATTTGGTTTCTCTAGCCAGCCCAGCCTCACACAGCCATCAAGCCGAGGCTGACTCCCAGGGACTCTACAGGACCGGGCAGAACTGTCCCTGCGAGCTCCCGAGACTGTAACGCAGACAGCCTTGTCTTTCTCCCAGTGAAGAAGGCAGAAGGAAAAGTCCCTTTAAAATGCACGTGCGTTGCTGTTTAGATGGCTACTAAGGGATGGGCTAGGAGGACTTACATCAAGTTATTGGACCTGCCTACCTAATAACCAGAATTGTTCTTGTGGCGTGGGTGGAAGTTTACAGAGCCAACTCATTTTTCCACGTGCACATTTTGTTTGATGACATCGACTGTAACCCCCGTGGTATAAATGCACTGCTCCCCCTTCCTCCCTGTTTTGTGTTTCCATTCACGGCTCTCCTGCCAGCATCGCGAGCTTCATTTGGGGGTGGATGGCGTTCTTCTGCTCTCCATGCAGATCTGAGGAGTGCATTCTTGCTGGCATGCATTTTATAGGCCTACTGTTTGGTTGGAAGTTGGACCAGGCTTGAAAGGCATCTAAGTGGTTCCATCAGTCTCTCTCAAAGTCGTCAATCTGGCCGTTTTTATGCTTCTGAGTTTTGTCCCACGTTTTCCTCCCATTCCAGCCAGGCCCTTCTCTTGTGACTCCAGTCAGAGCAGTCGTGTGCGGCAGCTGGGCACCACCTAAGCATTCTCGAGTCACGGCAGTGTGGAGGCCGAGACAAGAGTCACCTGGTCCATTCGCCCTTGCTTCCTTGCCTCTTTGATTTCCTTTACCCTTCTTGGCTCCAAAGAGGGAGATAGCAGCAGTTGCATCCAGGTGGGCGCTCAGAGCTTTTCAGGCCTGCGCTGCCTTTTGCTGAAGCAGCATGTGGGACAGACCAGGTTACACCAATTGATCCAGATGTCCCCTGAGACCATGGTCCTAAGTCTGCAGGTCCAGTGACCCATTCCCTCAAGGTTCTAGGTAAGCAATTTTCAGAACGTTGTCTTGTTGTATGCGCTACTCTATCCCTTCAATTAACCGTAGTACAAAGAAGCCCTGATGGTGTAGTGGTTAAGCACTGGGCAGTGATCTGCATGGTCAGCAGTTCACAACCACCAGCTCCACAGGAGAAAGACTGGGCTTGCTACTCCTGTAACTGGGTACATGGTTGGAAACGCACCCGGGGGCTGGGGCAGTGTCACAGTGAGTCAGCACGGACTTGATGGTAGTGAGTGAGAATTGTAGCACATATGAGGGGGCTTCTGAATGTTCGCAAAAAAACTGAGATTAATGAAATGGAAGTTTCTACACACTTTCTGACACCTCATCTATGCAGGAATAGCTTCTGCCAAGCCTACACATATCCACAGGTATAGTCCCTTTTACCTTTCCCACATCTGCTGGGGTTTTTTGCTTTTTTTTTTTTTTGCCTGGGGAGCCATGGAAAAACTGACAGTGAGGTCTTTTAAAGGTGCTATGAACCAAGAATGTTGGGGAGCTTCTGCAATAACTAGGAAATAAAACCTGTGAGATCCATAGAAGACAGACCTGCCTTGGGTTTTTAAAGGTAGCAGACTGACTGCCTAACTAGATAAGGTTCCAGTTAAGCACATAATGAAAAACAGCTCTCAGACTTGCATATCCCTGCCGCACAAGCCTGGCTTGTTGTGCAGATGCCACGAGGACCTCCTGGGCACCGTGGTCACCGAGCTGTCAGCACGGCCTTCCTCACCTGGCACCGTGGAACATGCTGGTTTTCCTCTGCAAACCAACTGTCCTGATCTGGAACCCTGCCATAAGGCTTTCCGTTTGGTAAATAGCTAGCCCCAGAGTCACGCCAACGATACTTCTTAACTGGCTTGTTTTGTTTTTTTAATTTGAAGGGAGGATGGCAGAAAGCCTTAATTTCTCAAGGTCAAGAGGCCGTTTAACCTCAGAAGACTCATCACACCGACATGGTAAATCAGTCCCGCTACGTGGCGGTCCCTGGGGCAAGGACGTCTTGCTTATTAGCAAAGTGGAGGGGTAGCAGAAAGGAGGAGGGCCCTTGCCGAGATGAAGTGGGCGCAAACATGACCACGAGGCTGGCACAGGACCACTGGTGCTACCTTCTGTTGCACACACAGGTCACGATGGGTCAGACGGCTCGACGATACCCCACCAACCAGGCCCCGGTACTCCTGTGTATGGGCCACCCTCCCTGACACTGACTGGGCGTGCGGGAAGCCAGCTGGGGGTGGGAGATTCTGGGTGACGCTGGAACAAGCAACCCTCGGGACGGACCCCCAATGCAAGACCGCCGTGGGGAAGCAGGTGTGCACGAGCCTTTGTCCACACTCCGAGAGAGCGCGACAGCATTATAACCAAAGTGTGAGGCCAGTCACAGAAGCAAACTTCACAATGCATGTGTCAAGTGACACGGAGCTTAGGAGAGAGTGGTCCTCCGGGAAGTCATACTTGACCCGAAAAATTCTCAGCGTTTCAGGCTTGATTCCAGAACTATCCGAAGGCTAACAGATGGCAGGGCAATAAATCAAAATCAACACCCTTACAGAACAAGTTGTTGCTGTGTGCGTGCGTTTAGTACACTGGCTCAGTGCCTAACTCGAATCCATATTGCAGCAGAGGAAACTCTCCGGGGCAGCTCTGCCGGGTGACTGGGCCACCGCGAGTCGGATCGGCCTCGATGGCGGCACCACCACCACCACCTCAAATGCAAAGACATTCCGCCAGTCTTCCCATCAGGGGCTCCTGGGGACAGTCCCATGCAACACGCAAGACAGCGGGAAAGGAGCTTGTCGCCAAGAATGCTGCCTCGTAAAAGGATCCTAATCGCAGGGTAGGTTTTCCACAGGCTTAAGGTTTTCCAGTCGGCTTAAGACATCCGTACGCACCATTAAAAACAAAATGGTGAGGCCTCATTCTCATTAAGTGTGGAGACGTGTTTCTTCTGGACAGCGCAGGGAGCAGAACGCGCCGGCCCAGGGTGCACGTTGAGGGGCCTCTGATGCCGAGAAGATACGAACTAGAGGCTTCCCTGGAAGGGAACAAGGCTGGATGCGTATTTTCTAAGACAATTTCACCCTCTTGCTATTGCTGAGACTATACACAGCCAAACAAATCCCAAATCCAACAGGATTTCTATTCTGAAGGATGTGGGAGACAGACAGACAGACAGAGAGAGAGAGCAAGCTGGAGAATGAATAAGCCTGGGGGGTGAGTTTCTTTGAACAGCGGGTGTTATTCTTGACACTCAAGTTAAAAGGGACTCAGGGAGTCTCAAGTGCATCTTGTCACTGGACCACAAAAGGCACGAGATGGAATGAATGTCGTGTTGTGACATCCAGGTCCTGCTCGAGACATGGCCCAGCTTCTAAGTTCCCAAGGAACCCCCCCACAACTGGACCAGCAGGTCACATCTGAGACACGGAGAGAAGGTGGAAGCTGTCGAGATTTCATCTTGCTTGGATCCACGACCGATGCTCGTGGCGGCGGCAGTCACGAGGTCCAACAGCGAGCTGCACTGGGTCAATGTGCTGTCCCAGACCTCTTCGAAACCACTGCCCTGGAGTTCATGCTGCCTGAGGGGCCCGAGGGGACAGGGTAGAACTGCCCGTGTAAGGTTCTGAGACTGCACAGGAATAGAAAGTCCTCTTTTTCTCCTGAGGAGCAGCTAGTGGTTTTGAACTGCTGACCTTGTGGATTGTACATGAATGCGTAACCACGGCAGGCCCAGGGCTTCCTCCTCAAGACTTCTTTAGAGTATTGACTAGCAGGGATGTTACTTCGAGGACTAAGGTGCGTCTCACCCAAGCTTTGGCCCCTAATGATAACGACAGCAAGGAATCCCAAGTCCTATCAAGGTGAATTCCGGGTGGACGCAGAGCGTCAGAGGCATGAACAACTCCCCTCTTCCCGGTTTGGTCATTTGAGCCCAGTCTTGGATGCTCCTCCTGTGGCACCTTTTCTGACAGACTGCTGGCCAGAAAGGATGCCGCTTTCTGATTCTCACAGGGCTCCTGGGCTTGTCCAACTGGCTGCAGAGAGAACATCACAGAGCATGGAGCAGGCCAGAGACCTGCGCCTGTTCTAACGGCCTAGAGAGGTGGAGAGGCTGGAACCGACGAGGGAAGGGAAGCAGTGGCTGTACGGCAGTGTGTGAAGATGTGGCTTAGGCGCTCAATGCAATACTGCTCAGCCGCGGAGCGGAGCGGCAGCCCCACTGCATGGGTGAATCTTGGAAACCATGCCGAGGGGACTCACACGGTACGAGCCTACCAATGCCCACTACCTGGGAGAGGCAAATGTAGAAAGAGGCTAGTTTGCTAGTAGATACCAGGAGGGAGAAGGGGAGGGGGTGAGGAAGCTCTGTTAGGAAGCACTGGGTTCTGTTTTATGGGGTGCAACATTTGGCAGTGGCCACATAAGATGCCAGGTGACTAATCTCAGGGAACTGCCTATGTGAGAACTGTCACAACCGTGAAAAGAATCGCTAGTGTTTGCCACCACGCCAAGCACAGGACACAACATCCCCTCGCTGTCCCTCCCCACGGCAGCACCTGGGCTTTTGTGAGGTGGACACAGAGGCTGGGGGAAATAAACACCTGCCCCACAGCAACATGAACGATCCCAGGGTCTGCCGATTCCAGGCCGTGCCTGCCTGACTTGAAAGCCAGCATCTCAAACGGCTGAAAGAGCGCCCCTTCTGCACTTCCAGAGTGGTGGGAGGGCAGGTGGCAGAGCAGGGCCAAGAGGACTAAGCGAGGGGCAGGCGGCAGCAGCTAGTGTTGACTGAGCATTTTCCTGCTCCAAGAATTTGCATGAGTTAACGCTTCTCCTCTTTCCAAGGGCCCCACGCGGTCGGAGGCTGGGAATACCCACCGAGACACGGGGGACGAAGGGTCAGAGCGCAGATCTGTGGTGGTCAGCATGGGGCTGCCCGTTTGCAGTGCCCCAGTTTCATCCGCAACCTGCAATGGTG